TGTATTGCTTCACACTGACCTGAAGATCTCTTCTTTCCTGCTGCTAGTACCACTCTGGAGACTACTAGCAGGGATAAGAGGTGAAGTGCAGTTGGTATCACTTTGCATGGGACAGGAGCCAGCACTACAGAACTTATGCGGTTCTTGCTTCCTACTACAGCTCCAACTTTACATGTAGTCCCTCTTTATTGCACTCTGATGCTCTGGGATGGCGGGTCAGCAACCAAGCCTGCAATCCAATAGTCACCTGGCCCCAATCTGCTGGTAAATCACGATCTATGGGTTGCTGACTGAAGACGGGTAAAGAAACTGGCTCAGGTGAGGATGGCACTGGATCCCTGGGCAGGTGTTTGTTTATTAAAAGTCAACAGCTACAGTTTTTGAAGGGCTACAGGAGCCTATAAAGCATTGCTCCAGCGATCAGCACATTGCTGGTGCCATGTAGGTCTCCTGCAGATCTGTAAGTATATCTGCTTGCCCGTATGGGATGTATGAGCAAGCAGATATACTGATAGGAAGAATGAATGAACAGCTACAGCGGTGGGTGGATGGGATGGGGTGAGAAGATCCCCCGCTGGCTGTCAAAGCCGGGAGTGGGAGCCAGTCTCATTGTAACATGTTACATTTTACACCCTGAATACAGTTGCAAGAAAAAGTATGTGAACCCCTTGGGATTACGTGGAGTTTTGCATGAATTGGGCATACAATGTGCTCTGAACGTCATCTAAGTCACACCAATAGAAGAACACAGTCTGCGGAACAAAATACTACACAAACATTAGATGTTGCCATGGTTTAATTGCACATAACATGTAAACATTCACAGTGCAGGGAGGAAAAAGTATGTGAGGCCCTAGCTTAATGACTTCTCCCAGAGCTAATTGGAGCCAGGAGTGAGCCAACCTTGACTCCAATCAGTGTGATGATATTGGATGTGTTGCTGACAGCTGTCCTGCCCTTAAAAAACACACACCTGTTTTGGGTTTACTGGTTTCAAGAAGCACTGTCTCATGTGAACCATGCCTCGCAGAAAAGAGCTCTCAGAAGACCTACGATCAAGAATTGTTGACTTGGATGAAGCTGGAAAGGGTTACAAAAGTATCTCCAAAAGCCTTGATGTTCATGTGTCCACGGTAAGACAGACTGTATAAAAATGGAGAAAGTTTAGCACTGTTGCTACTCTCCCTAGGCGTGGTCGTCCTGTAAAAATGACTGCAAGAGCACAGCGCAGAATGCTGCATGAGGTAAAGAAGAATCCCAGAGTGTCAGCTAAAGACCTACAGAAATCTCTGGCACATTCTAACATTTTTGTTGACACATCTACAATAAGGAAAACATTAAACAAGAATGGAGTACATGGGAAGACCCCACGGAGGAAGCCATTGCTGTCCAAAAAGAATATTGCAGCACGTTTGAAGTTTGCAAAAGAGCACCTGGATGTTCCACAGAACTACTGGCAAAATATACTGTGGACAGATGAAACCAAGATTGAGTTGTTTGGGAAGAACACACAACACTATGTGTGGAGAAAAAAAGGCCCAGCACACCAACATCAAAACCTCATCCCCACTGTAATACATGGCGGAGGGAGCATCATGGTTTGGGGCTGCTTTGCTGCCTCAGGGCCTGGACGAATTGTTGTCATTGATGGGAAAATGAATTCCAGAGTTTATCAAGACATTTTGCAGGAAAACGTACGACCATCTGTCCGCCAACTGAAGCTCCGCAGAGGATGGGTGATGCAACAGGACAATGACCCAAAGCATACAAGTAATTCAACAAAACAATGGCTGCAACAGCACAGAATACGCCTTCTGAAGTGGCCCAGTCAGAGTCCTGACCTCAACCCCATTGAAATGCTGTGGCATGACCTTAAGAGAGCGATTCACACCAGACATCCCAAGAATATTGCTACACTGAAACAGTTTTTTGTGAAGAGGAGTGGTCCAAAATTACTCCAGATCGTTGTGCAGGTCTGATCTGCAACTACAGGAAACGTTTGGTTGAGGTTATTGCTGCCAAAGGAGGGTCAACCAGTTATTAAGTCCAAACGTTCACATACTTTTTCCTCCCTGCACTGTGAATGTTTACATGTTATGTGCAATTAAACCATGGCAACATCTAATGTTTGTGTAGTATTATATTCAGCAGACTGTGTTCTTCTATTGTTGTGACTTACATGACGTTCAGAGCACATTTTATGCCCAATTCATGCAAAACTCCACGTAATCCCAAGGGGTTCACATACTTTTTCTTGCAACTGTATGTGTGTAACATGTAATGAAAGGTGAACTTATCCTTTAAGCAACACAACTTGGTCAATTCTACCTCTAGCCCGTAATTGGACATTATAAGAGCTGCAGCTTGTGGATGAGCTACCCTCTGCTCAATCCTCTCTCCTTCGCATGATCCTTGTCAGCACATGTGCATGCAAAAGGCATTATTGGCCTTTATTGACTGGTCCTGCTTTTTCACACCCTGAATGCTACTGTACAGGGGAAAAGGAGACTGATGCCAAGCTAATGTCAGGACCTGGATCACCTGGTGATGGCACTGTGGTTCCCAGAGCTGAAGAGAGCAGTTCTGTGTCTCCCACCAGCCAGCAGATCCCAGTAATTAGACTCTACCTGATGCTGGCTGCTGGGAAGGTATACAGTATAACCCCTCCTTTGATGTTCAACAGTGCTTCAGTGTTTTGCCTGTTAGCCATATACCTGCTTAGTGATTATCCTGATCCCCTTATGCTGTGTCCTGTTACCCCATATCTACTCCCCTTGTTCCCAGTCCTGAACATTTTAAATTTACCCAAGTCTGATTCCAGTTTCTTAAAGAGTAACTTCACTTTTGTTGAGAAAAAAAACTTCCGCTCTGGGTGATACATGTACTTTACAAGATTTTAACAAACTTTGTTACAGATTCCTACCTTTTGTTATTCTGAAGAAATAGCTATTTGATTATCTGTGTCCATGTGCAAAGTGAAGGAGAATGGAAGTGGTTTTATACCTGTCACTGAAAATGTTAGGGATTAATACTTCATTTTAGGCTAAAAATAACTTGAAGATGTGTCTCATGGTATACTTCATCTGTTACTGGCTTACTGAAGCCCTGTACACACAAGCAATCCATTATCTGATGTCCCATGTACTTATGTCATATTGGTGTTCCTGGCAATTTAAATGTTTTTTTTTTTAACCACTTGCCCTCCTGAGGATTTATCCCCCTTCCTGACCAGGCCATTTTTTGCATTACAGCAATGCATTACTTTAACTGACAATTGTGCGGTCATGCAACGCTGCACCCAAATGAAGTTTACGTCCTTTTTCTCCCAAGAATTGAGCTTTCTTTCTGGTATTTGTTCGCCTGTGCGGTGTTTATTTTGTGTGCTATGAAAACAAAAAAGGCCGACCATTTTGAGGAAAAAAACAATTTTTTTGACTTTTTGCTATTAAACATGTCCAGTAAAAAAAAATAAAAAAATCAAATTTCATCATAAATTTAGGCCAAAATGTATTCTGCTACACATCTGCTAAAAAAAAAATCCCAATCAATACGTGTAAATTAATTGGTTTACGTGAAAGTTATAGCATTTACAAATGGCGGTATATATACTGGGCTTTTTTTTGGCGGGGATCAGCGACTTATAGTGGGAAAAACCTATTACACTGCGAGAAGCCTCTTTTGTGCATTCCCTGAGCATTGCACACATACACTATACTATACGCTGGTACAGGAATGTACTGATTTTTCAGTGGGTCATCCATCTATACAGATTTCAACACCATAAAGGGAAGCAAGTTTGATTCCTTGGCAAGGAGATTATAAAGTGCTTTTTGACTTTTTGGCTAAGGTTACACTTGTTGCTGTTCAGGCCGGTTCCAGGACGGTGTAACTCTGACAACTTTACAGAGGCTTCAAGCAGTTTAAAGCGGAGTTGCAGTGAAAATGTAAAAAACTAAAGGTAAGCAGCTACAAAAACTGTAGCTGCTGACTTACAAACGGACACTTACCTGTCCCTTGATCCCACAGTCCCCCCCCCCCCCCCGCAGTCCATTTCTTCAGCTACCCTATGTTCCTGGTGACAGCATCTTGAGTGTGGGAACCCGGCTGTGACAGCTTGCGGCTTCACAGCCGGATGCTCACTACACATGTGCGGGTAGCGCTGCGCTTTCTGAATTGTTCTGTAGTCTTCTGGGACCTGCCATGTGTCCCAGAAGACTACAGGGAGGGAGGAGTAAGGGACAACTTCCGTTTCCGATCGCCTTAGGTGATTGCAGCAGAAGTGGGAACGGGGACCTGTGAATTTCGGGTACCCGCTCCCCAAAGGTGACAATCCTTAATCGCCTCCCGCCCGCCATATAAGGAAATGACGAACAAGCGGCGGTTCTCTGGTTCTGGGAAGACGTCATATGACGTCCTCCCACTCTAAGCACGCGTGCCCCCAGGGGGCAGTGGTGTGCTGTGTCCCTGGGACACAGAGGATCACACGATCAGTGGAAAGAGCCAATGACTTTGGTTCTGTCATGTGATCAGCTGTGTCCAATCACAGCTGATCGCATGTAAATAAGGAAATGTTGGTTATTGGCATTCCTCTCCTCACGCTGACAGCTCATGAGGAGAGGAGAGACGGTAATCGGCATTTCTCTGAGGGGATATCTAAACTAATCATCAGAGCACTGATGATCAGTGCCCTGATGATCGGTGGAGCCCCAACAATGCCACCTGTCAGTGCCCATCAATGCCACTTATCAGTGCCTACCAGTGCACATCAATGCCACATATCAGTGCCCATCTTAGCTGCCTTTCAGTGCCACCTATCAGTGCCAGTCAGTGGCGCCTATCAGTGCCTCCTATTAGTGCTGCCTATCAGTGCCCGTCAGTGCCGCCTATCAGTGCCCGTCGGTGCCGATGGTGCCTATCAGTGCCACCTATCTGTGCCATAGGTGCCATAGGTGAGTGCTGCCTTTCAGTGCCCATCAGTGATGCCTGTCAATGCCCATCAGTGCCACCTACCAGTGCCTCCTCATCAGTGCCCATCAGTGCTGCCTATCAGTGCCATAGATGAGTGCTGCCTTTCAGTGCCCATCAGGGATGCCTGTCAATGCCCATCAGTGCCACCTACCAGTGCCTCCTCATCAGTGCCCATCAGTGCCCATCACTGCAGCCTCATTAGCGCACATCAGTGAAGGAGAAAAATCACTTATTTACAAAATTTTATAACAGAAACTAAGAAAAAAAAATTTTTTTCAAAAATATTTCAGTTGTTTTTGGTTTATTTAGCAAAAAAAAAAAACCCAGAGGTGATTAAATACCACCAAAAAAAATCCCTGTCTCAAAAAAATAATAAAAATTTCATATGAGTACAGTGTTACTTGACTGCGCAATTGTCATTCAAAGTGTGAAAGCGCTGAAAGCTGAAAATTTGCCTGGGCAGGAAGGAGGTGAAATTGTCCTGTAGGCAAGTGGTTAATGGGAGCAGCTATACTAACTAGTCCATTAAACCGAACTTTCCCTTTTGGGTGGAGCTCCGCTTTAACATTTTCTGGCTGCAGTACTTGTAAGTTCCTGAAGATGGCAGCAGCCACATAACGTAGCGCTATAGTGTGAACAGAGCAGTCTTGCGATCTTGTATAGAATCTGTGCTGATCTATGCAGTTCCAGTGTGCACGAGCCCTGACGTCCTCCATGGACTCTTCCCATTCTTTCTAGCTATTAACAGATCACAGCAGCTGCCATTGCTATTTTTATTAGGATCTCTGGTGTGACAAATCCCAAATCCTCATAGATTCCAAACATGAAGACAAGAGCATGTATTTGAATTTATAAAATGTAATAAATTCTTTAGAAAAACGTTTGCAATTGGAATTTATTAAGATCCTCTTTTTTATTATTGTTATCATTCTCCACTTTACACATCATTGGCTTCTATACAGCATTCCAGGCACAGCCGGCCGTTCCCATGGCTACGGGAGGGGCGGCGCCTTCCGATGATGTCATCGCGCCCGTGTTGTGAGTGATGTCCGGGGTTGGTGCCGTCTTCTGAAACTGAATATGGGAACCGGCCGAGACCCGGAGCTGAGGAGCCAGAGTGGGGGCGAGGAGGATGGGGACCCCGGCGAGCGATTCTCACCGGTTAGTAGTGGGGCCCCTGTGGGTACCTGTGCTGCCCCGGAGGTTCTAAAGCCTAGAAATGGCTGCTTGCCCTGTGCGCATCGCTGTCCTGTCTGCTTCTCACATTCTGCTTAGATGGATGTGAAGCTTCCTCCAGTACAGCTTCTCCTACACAGGGGACGGCCAGGCGCCGCAGATCGTCTGCACTGGTGGCTGCAGTTGGAGCGATCACTCTAGACCAGTGATGGGGAACCGTTTACAGGCCGAGTGCCCAAATTGCCACCCAAAACCCACTTATTTATCACAAAGTGCCAACACTGCAATTATACCTGAATACTGAGGTTTTAGTTTAGAAAAAACAACCCATACACTAACATCTGTTTTAAAAGAAAAACAATATCAGAGCTTCCACTGACCACCAGCCAAAGGCAGCAGAGTTCCACTGACCACCAGCACGAGGGGGCAAAGTTCCACTGACCACCAGCACGAGAGGGCAAAGTTCCACTGACCACCAGCACGAGGGGGCAAAGTTCCACTGACCACCAGCACGAGGGGGCAAAGTTCCACTGACCACCAGCACGAGGGGGCAAAGTCCCACTGACCACCAGCAAAGGGGGCAAAGTTCCACTGACCACCAGCAAAGGGGCAAAAGTTCCACTGATCGCCAGCACGAGGGGGCAAAGTTCCACTGATCGCCAGCACGAGGGGGCAAAGTTCCACTGACCGCCAGCATGAGGGGGGGCAAAGTTCCACTGACCGCCAGCATGAGGGGGCAAAGTTCCACTGACCGCCAGCACGAGGGGGCAAAGTTCCACTGACCGCCAGCACGAGGGGGCACAGTTCCACTGATCGCCAGCACGAGGGGGCACAGTTCCACTGATCGCCAGCACGAGGGGGGGGCACAGTTCCACTGATCGCCAGCACGAGGGGGCAAAGTTCCACTGATCGCCAGCACGAGGGGGCAAAGTTCCACTGACCACCAGCAAAGGGGGCAAAGTTCCACTGACCACTAGCACGAGGGGGCAAAGTTCCACTGACCACCAGCACGAGGGGGCAAAGTTCCACTGACCACCAGCAAAGGGGCAAAAGTTCCACTGACCGCCAGCACGAGGGGGCAAAGTTCCACTGATCACCAGCACGAGGGGGGGCAAAATTCCACTGACCGCCAGCACGAGGGGTCAATGTTCCACTGACCGCCAGCACGAGGGGGCAAAGTTCCACTGACCAGCACGAGGGGGCACCACTGATCGGGGGGGGCACAGCAGTTCCACTGATCACGCCAGCACCACTGAGGGGGCAAAAAGTTCCACTGACCACTAGCACGAGGGGGCAAAGTTCCACTGACACCAGCACGAGGGGGCAAAGTTCCACTGACCACCAGCAAAGGGGGCAAAGTTCCACTGACCACTAGCACGAGGGGGCAAAGTTCCACTGACCACCAGGAAAGGGGGCAAAGTTCCACTGACCACCAGCACGAGGGGGCAAAAGTTCCACTGACCGCCAGCAAAGGGGGCAAAGTTCCACTGATGCCAGCACGAGGGGGCAAAGTTCCACTGACCACCAGCACGAGGGGGCAAAAGTTCCACTGACCGCCAGCACGAGGGGGCAAAGTTCCACTGACCGCCAGCACGAGGGGGGCAAAGTTCCACTGATCGCCAGCACGAGGGGGCAAAGTTCCACTGACCGCCACACGAGGGGTCAAAATGTTCCACTGACCGCCAGCACGGGGGGCAAAGTTCCACTGACCGCCAGCACGAGGGGGCACAGTTCCACTGATCGCCAGCACGGAGGGGGCAAAGTTCCACTGACCACTAGCACGAGGGGGCAAAGTTCCACTGACCACCAGGAAAGGGGGCAAAGTTCCACTGACCACTAGCACGAGGGGGGCAAAGTTCCACTGACCACGAGGAAAGGGGGCAAAGTTCCACTGACCACCAGCACGAGGGGGCAAAGTTCACTGACCACCAGCATGAGGGGGCAAAGTTCCACTGACCACCAGCAAAGGGGGCAAAGTTTCACTGACCACCAGGAGGGGGGCAAAGTTCCACTGACCGCCAGCAAAGGGGGCAAAGTTCCACTGACCGCCAGCAAAGGGGGCAAAGTTCCACTGACCGCCAGCAAAGGGGGCAAAGTTCCACTGACCGCCAGCAAAGGGGGCAAAGTTCCACTGACCGCCAGCAAAGGGGGCAAAGTTCCACTGACCGCCAGCAAAGGGGGCAAAGTTCCACTGACCGCCAGCAAAGGGGGGCAAAGTTCCACTGACCGCCAGCAAAGGGGGCAAAGTTCCACTGACCGCCAGCAAAGGGGGCAAAAGTTCCACTGACCGCCAGCAAAGGGGGCAAAGTTCCACTGACCGCCAGCAAAGCCAGCACGCACGAGGGGGCAAAGTTCCACTGACCGCCAGGCTTGAGGGGGCAAAGTTCCACTGACCGCCGGCAAAGTTATACTGAGGGGGGGGCAGAGTTCCACTGACCGCCGGCACGAGGGGGCAGAGTTCCACTGACCGCCGGCACGAGGGGGCAGAGTTCCACTGACCGCCGGCACGAGGGGGCAGAGTTCCACTGACCGCCGGCACGAGGGGGCAGAGTTCCACTGACCGCCGGCACGAGGGGGCAGAGTTCCACTGACCGCCGGCACGAGGGGGCAGAGTTCCACTGACCGCCGGCACGAGGGGGCAGAGTTCCACTGACCGCCGGCACGAGGGGGCAGAGTTCCACTGACCGCCGGCACGAGGGGGCACGAGGGGGCAGAGTTCCACTGACCGCCGGCACGAGGGGGCAGAGTTCCACTGACCGCCGGCACGAGGGGGCAGAGTTCCACTGACCGCCGGCACGAGGGGGCAGAGTTCCACTGACCGCCGGCACGAGGGGGCAGAGTTCCACTGACCGCCGGCTCGAGGGGGCAAAGTTCCACTGACCGCCGGCTCGAGGGGGCAAAGTTCCACTGACCGCCGGCTCGAGGGGGCAAAGTTCCACTGACCGCCGGCTCGAGGGGGCAAAGTTCCACTGACCGCCGGCTCGAGGGGGCAAAGTTCCACTGACCGCCGGCATGAGGGGGCAAAGGCCGGCATCCACTGACCACCGGCACAAGCTAAAATATTTTGTTAATAAAAACAAATGTATTAAAACTCACAGCCAGTCCAATATTTATATATATCCTTGGCAGCACACTGACTGGCCATGCAAAAGCTTGGATAAGTCACAACTAATGAGTCACGGCTCATGACGGCATCACCTGGCTCTGCTACTCCTTTCTGAGCATGCGCATGGCCCCTATGTTCATTGTTATCCGATGCTCGGCTACTGGGGCGATCCTGGGGTGACTTGGCTCACATACCAACAGAGAGGGCTCTGTGTGCCCGCTGCAGCACGTGTGCCATAGGTTTGCCACCATTGCTGTAGATTCTCCCTCCATATCCTCCATTTTGCTCTACACACAGTTGTCCTCAAAAGTGTGCATCCCCTAACAGAAATCATGACATTTGCATTGACATTGAAAATGTTACTGATCCTTCCAAAAAACGTTTATTGAAAGGATAAGTTCACCTTTTAGACAAAAATAATATATGCACATTTTTTTTGCGGGTAAATGTGCATTTATTATTTTTGTCCAAAGGAGCCTGTAAAGCATTGCACCGGCGTTCAGTAGATCTGTCGAGATATCTGCTTGCTGTATGGGATCTACGGCCAAGCAGATATTTTGACAGGAAGCTTCAGCGAACTATTACGGCTCTCCACGGCGCCGTGGTAGTTCATTGAAAACTACAAGCCGACAGCGGCTAATGTTGTTGGGACTTGCAGTTTATTAATTCACGGAAGTCTGTGAATGAGTGAAGCAGTGGTGTGGGCGGAGCCCTGCATGGCTGCGCTGTTTTCAAATTTGACAAATAGTGCAGGGAGACGTCTCCCTGTGCTATCTGTCAGAGGGAGGGCGGGGGGTGGGGGCAGTGGCTGCGGCTATGGGAACATGTTACATGTTCCACCTTAAAAATGGGTGGAACATGTTCCAAATGTGAATTTATCCTTTAAGGATAGTGATCATAGGAAGCCATTTATTATAGTTGTTTGGCTCCTTTTTAAATCATAATGATAACAGAAATCACCCAAATGGCCATGATCAAATTAATTTCAATTAGTATCTGTGTATAAATTGTCAATGAGTTTATCTCTCACGTGGATACACTGAGCAGGCTAGACACTGAGCCATGGGGAGCAGAAAAGTACTGTGAAAAGATCTGCGTAATGAAGTAATGGAACTTTATAAAGATGGAAAAGAATATAAAAAGATATCCAAAGCATTGAATATACCAGTCAGTTCGATCATCTATTAAGAAGTGGAAAATTTGGAGATCTCTTGATATCAAGCCAAGGTCAGGTAGACCAAGAACGATTGCAGCCACAACTGACAGAAGAATTGTTTGGGATGCAAAGAAAAATCCACAGGTAACCTCAGGAGAAATACAGGCTGCTCTGGAAAAAGACGGTGTGGTTGTTTCAAGGCGTATGATACTTGAACAAAAATGAGCTGCATGGTCAAGTTGCCAGAAAAAAAGCCTTTACTGTGCCAATGCCACAAAAAAGCCCAGTTGCATATATCCGACAACACCTTGACATGCCTCACAGTGCCTGGCACACTTTAATCTGGAGTGACGAGAGCAAAATAGAGCTTTATAGTCACAACCATAAGCGTATGTTTGGAGAATGGTCAACAATGTTTATAGCAACAAGAATAGCATCCCCACTGTGAAGCATGGTGGTGGCTCACTGCTGTTTTGGGGGGGTGTAGCTCTAAAGGCATGGGGGATCTTGTGAAAATTGATGGCAAGGTGAATGCAGCATGTTATCACAAAATACTGCCAGACAATTTGCATTCTTATGCAGGAAAGCTGCACATGGGATGCTCTTGGCCTTTCCAGCACGACATTGACCCTAAGCACAAGGCCAAGTTGACCCTCCACTGGTTACTACAGGAAAAGGCAAAGGTTCTGGAATAGCCATCACAGTCTCCTGACCTTAATATCATCAAGCCACTCTGGGGAGTTTTCACTCATGCTGTTCCTGCAATACACCCAAAGACTTTGCATGACCTTCAGGCATTTTGCCAAGACGAATTGGCAGCTTTACCACTTGCAAGAATTCGGAGCCTTTTAGCCAACTATTACAAAAGACTGCACACTGTCATTGTTGTTAAAGGGGGCAATACAAAGTATCAAGAACTAAGGGGATGCAGACTTTTGAACAGGGGGCATTTCATTTGTTTGCTTATTGCCAGACTTTGTTTTATGATTGTACCATTCTGTTATGACCTGCAGTTGAGTATGAATCCCATAAGAAAAAACTATTGTCTTGCCTGCTCACTCATGTGTTCTTTAAAAATGATACATATTGTATATTACCAATTCTCCAAGGGTATGCAAACTTTTGAGCACAACTGTAAACGTATGCTCAGCCCAGCCGAGAATATGTTTGGAGCTGCTGGCAGAGTAAACTGTAGGTAGAAAATAAGTTTGCCAAGAGATGGGCCAAAATTAGTTAATGAGCCATAAAGCATAGGAGGATTTAATTTTGCTTTAATTTGAGAAAATGTGTCAGAAGGGATACAAACACAGGTTGGATATAAGCCAAGCTTGGTGACTTCAGACCTAATCAAACCACTGAAAATAAATCTTTTAAAACAAAGTCAAGATAGGCAAATAAGGATGCACCGATACCAGTTTTTTTTTTACAGCGACAGCTGAATGAGTGATTTGTTGTTAAGGACACAGCGGCCCCCCTCCTCAACCACCTCAGCTCTGACACCTGTTCAGCCCTTATGGATCAGAGCAATTTTTACATTTGTTTGTACTTAAAAAAAAAAAAAATAAATTGTATTAAGTTGTTATCTTAAGGAATGACAAAATTATTGCCGATTAAACAGGTCCATAGCACAAATGTAAAAATTGCTCTGATCCAAAAGGGCCTAAACAGGTGTGAGAGCTGAGGTGGTTGAGGAGGGGAACCGCTGTGTCCTTAACAACAAATCACTCATTCATTGTCCAAATTAAAAAATATAATTGCTGCAAGACAATACTCACGAAAAGAAAGCTTTGTTTGTACTTAAAAAAAAAAAAAAATTGTATTAAGTTATCTTAAGGAATGACAAAATTATTGCCGATTAAACAGGTCCATAGCACAAAGCTTTCTTTTCGTGAGTATTGTCTTGCAGCAATTATATTTTTTCATTTGGACAATTAAATGTAACAAAACCACTAAATAAAAACGCACTTTGAGCAGTATTTAGTTTAAAAATATACAGTGTTACTGCACATAAAAAGTGCACAATTTGTCCTGACAACAAAACTATGATTCTGGTACAAGCATTGAAAAGTTATTTACAAATGAAATACATTTTATATCAATTTTGCAGTTTTTTAAAATCTAAAACGTGTAAAATACCTCTGTTAAAGGTGTAAAAATATTAACAAACAAAGCTAACAAAAACAAAAAAAAAGTTTTAATTTATTATTAGTTTCTAAAATAGAAATTAACAAAAAAAATCAACAGGAAAACATAATTAAATGATGAAAGCGAATAAGTTAATTAGTGCTGATTAGAATAAATTTAGAGGTTGAACAGAGAAACATTTACTTAAAAAAAAAAAATACATTTTTTATTTCTTGACAGGTTGCTTTTAACTGATTTCATCTGCAGATAGAAGTTGATCTGTAGATCAGCCTTTCTCAACCAGGGTGCCTTGAGGTTTCTTCAGGGGTGCTTTGGAAAATGTCTACAAATTGGCCAAAACTTGTATACAAACCAGTGCGTGGAACAAGCCTGCCTTTTAGTTCCACTAAGTCACAGGTTTTCATTGTGCACTATTACAGCCTTCTAGCTGCCGGCATCCTGACAACTAATGACATAATCAGTTGATAAGGAGGATTTCCGCTGCCTGCACAGCATTCTAGTTTGACCCTCCCCTGCCCCTGTCCATCAATGCTGGATCACATTAGCTCAGTGATGGAAAAAAAACTGCGGGAGAAGAGAAACCATGGGATACTACTCAGTACCAGTGTGCAAAAGTGTATTTGCTTTGGAAGAATGTCACCTCTAGTGTTGGGCGTCTTACGTGTGTGGATGTTGCTGCATTATATCAAACTATTAGAATAGTTCTTCATATTTTAGAATGCAGTGCCCTTTTTAAAATTATGGACAGTCTTGAGGCACCCCATTTTAGAATGGGGTGCCTCAAGACTGTCCATAATTTTAAGGAGTGCCTCCGGACTGCCCATCATTTTAAAGGGTGCCTTGACTGAAAAAAGGTTGAGAAACACTGCTGTAGATGAATATACAGAAAGATACAAAGTGAAAAATTGTTTCTTTTTATCTTTCTGTTTTTAGCTGTTGATAAACATTGTCAGGCTGCTTTTTTTGACAGCTCCTGTTTACACTTCAGCTATCAGCAGGGAAACCACACTGACAGCTGAACAAGTCATCGGTTGTTAAGGACACAGCAGCCTCGCTCCATAACAACCAATAATTCCTGGCTTTTTTAAATTTACATTTTGGCTGTCAGCAGGGAATCATGCTGACAGCTGAAGGAACGTGCCTGATGGTATTAGTTTCAGGTATTGAAGTATTTGCTCTAGTACCGATACTCATGCAGATGCTTAGTATCGGTACCGATATTGGTGCAACCCTTTAGGCAAAGGTTAAAGGTCAAGGCCCTTGATAAGAATTTGTAAACTGATGCATACATTAAACCTGTACTAATAGAAGAGGGGGGACTACCATTGCAAAATCCTAATTGCTTTCACTTCTTTGGCTTCAGTTCTTTGAGTTGCCATCTGTAGGATTAAATGGTGAATGGTATAGCACATGCATGGTTCTGGCTCAGAGGAGTTTGATCAGCAGCTCTGAGCCCCTTTTTAAGTGATATCTTATTGGATCAGGGACAAGTGAGCATGAGGCTGTCAGGGGAAGCTGGGGTCAGGTCAAAGGTACAGTTAAATTAAAAAAAAAAAAAAAAAACTAACATATTTTGGTCACCTAAACCTCACTGCTAAATTTTTGGATCCTGTTTTAACTAATTAGGGTTTCACTAAGCTTTGCGAAAAAAACCCCGTAATTACAATACAATTTTGAGGACAAGCTTTCGGGGAATGTCCCCTTCTTCAAGGTCCAAGCAGTGCTTGGACCTTTGAAGGAAATAAAGTGAGGCCCAAGAACAGATTACTTTTGTAGCGGGAAAGGTCATATTATAGTAACTGTAGATGTTGCTATGTTTTCTATATTTGTACATGTCTCATAGTTTTATTTATTTTGGATTCAGCAAAAACTGACAATGAGATGTTTTTTATTCCTTAGAGCCCCTGGAACATTATGATTAAACATCGTCAGGTTCAGCGTAGAGGACGGCGTGCTCATGTAGCAGTCAGGTAAGAGAATGAGGCAAATAAAGCCTATATGTACATAAATACCTTTGGATTCTAGTTGAATAAATGTTCATATTTTTTTTTCCTGCAAAGATTACTGTATTCTCAGATCTACATACCATAGCTGTGTCTGTTCTGCTGCACCAGCCAAAGTTTGTGCTAGGTAGTTTTTTTTTTAAACTATGCCTATTGATTCGGATTGTCACCTATTAATTAATTCACTATGTCTCTATGATAACACAAGCCATACACATACAGATTTATTTAAAGGGGGACCATTTAGCAACCTTTTATCACTGAAAAAAAATCATTTTATGCCTTTGCTGGGTGATGTCATCAGTTTCCTGCAGCAGGAGGAAACATTTCCTCTGTTTCCTCCTCCCCCCCAGAGATCATACTGCAACATTGTAACTTTGCAGCAAGCCAAAAGTGAGGGGCTGCAACAGTGGCATGATTCAGTGCTTGACCAAAGATGGCTTCATCCTTCCAGAAAGAAAAGCAGATAATGGCATTATCAAGGAGTATTTTGTGATCTTCAAGCGAGGTAATATATACACCGCAGTGTTACACATTAGTTAGTAAGGATAACTAAACTCAAGTTTACAAAGCATTGCTGGTAGGGAGCTTTGCAGATGCAGAAAAAAAGTCTGATTTCTCTCCCCCACCCCCCAAAAAAAAAAAATATTACCCACTTGCAAGCTTTTTTTTTTTTTTTTTTTTTTTTTCTTTGTGAATGTGCATTGAGCCATGCACAGGTCAGTGTACAGTCCCAGCATCAGCCATGCGCATCTGTGCGAGTTACGTCCCCCAGGGCCAACCAATCAAAATGGCCGAAGACACCAAACCTGGGAGAAGAATGGGTTAAGGTGTCAGCAGCTGCAGCAAGGGACATTGCAGCCATCAATGCACTGAAGCGAGGCACTTTAGCAGGTAGGTCTGTCTTAATGTGCAAATATCTATGCATACCTGCACATTATGGCAAATATCCTGGTTGCCAGTAGTGGAGTTTAATTCCACTTTAACCTTACAATATATTCACTTTAAATTGTAAGTCTAGGTAACAAGTTAAATCAATCTCCGATTTACAAGCAGAAAACATTGTACTCATATGAATGTCAGAAAACCCTTCACTTTTCCTTAATACATTCTTTATAAATTATTATTATTATTATACAGGATTTATATAGCGCCAACAGTTTGCGCAGCGCTTTACAATATAATGGGAGACAGTACAATTACAATACATTTCAGTACCGTATAAATAGGAGGGCCCTTTTATAAATAATCAATTACCACATACAGCCAGATTGAGCATGACTTTCAGGGTGCCTTTGGATTGGACCTTATTCTTTTACCACATTTTTTTGTGCTCTGCAGCCTCTATCTCTGCAAATCATCTATTAAGCCAATTTTTTTTCCCTTTTATGTTGTTCGGATGTCTTTAGAATGGAAAAAATGTTAGAAACTCCGATAGGTTGTTTTAGAAATCTGTTCACTTGGGTAGATTTCCCGTCACATCCAGTGTGATGACTGAGGAAGGAAGAAGAGAAATACCAATACCAACCCCTCTCAAGGGGGATACAGACAGCAAAATACACTTTTTATTGGCTCTTTTGATTTCTGTTTTTATCTATGTTGAAGGAATTGCCCTCAATTCCTGTGTGGTTAGCAGGGTAGGAAGCAGAGAAAACCCTGGTGACACAGGCAGGAATATAAACCTTATAGAGGTTCTAACCCAGCAATGGGCAAACGGCCCACGGGCCGTATACGGCCCGGCGGACCTTTTAATCCGGCCCGCAGAGCGTGATACATTGGCTGTCAGGATGTGTAGGCGGGGCAGCGTGACGAACATGAGGGGAGCTAGGCTCTCTCACAGTCCGCCCTGAAGACCGGAACGGCGCGGGAACACGGCGAGAGGAACGCGCGGAGCAAAGGTAAGTGAATTGACACAGGGGGGACTGGCTTACTACTTGGGGGGGAATAGTACTATGGGGGATGAATACTAATATGAAGGATGAATTAATTGGGGGATGAATTAATATGGGGGGATGAATTACTATAGGGGGGATGAATTACTATATGGGGGATGAATTACTATATGGGGGATGAATTACTATATGGGGGATGAATTACTATATGGGGGATGAATTACTATATGGGGATGAATTACTATATGGGGGATTAATTACTATGGGGAATAAATTACTATATGGGGGATGAATTACTATGGGGGATGAATTACTATGGGGGATGAATTACTATATGGGGGATGAATTACTATGGGGGATGAATTACGATGCTTACTATGGGGGAATATTACTATACTTACTATGGATGACACATACACATCATTCATCTACTCTTGGTCCGGCCCCCGGGTCCAATATATGAACCCATTGCGGCCCTCAAGTCAAAAAGTTTGCCCACCCCTGTTCTAACCCTTCTCCACTGCACCTAAACATAAAAAAGAAACCTCTTACTGCTTACTTGGTCAGGTAGGTTTGAGCGCCATCAGGCAACATGAATATGTTGTTTTTGAATGGTAAAGGGAGTTCATAATTAGACTACAGAGAGACTTAGATGGGCAGAATTGGGAATCCATGGTCTGTCGTACATGTGGATGTTCCAGTGCACAGTGTGGTGTATTCAAGTTTTATCTACATGAAAAGTAACATAGCCAGGATGGTAATTTGTATCTATTTTATGTTTCTGTGCTAAATGTTGTGCAGTAAAGCTGCAATCCAGTTATAAAAGGAACAGGTTATTGCAGCTCTGTATTAAGCGTTACTTAATGTCATAATAGAAAAACAAATCTCATTCCCTGCCATTCAGGACATTGCTGTGCGGCAGAGCTGTGTAAATCTCAGAACTAGATGGACAGAAATGCAAATCTTTTGTCAAGTAAAATAGCTTATGTTTATTTCATTTATGTTTTAACTGTTCGTCGAGATTTGAGCTTTAAAATCCATGCACAGCGTGGTAGCTCGCACAAGGCTTTCAGATTTCATCTGCTGTAGTCTAGATAGTAAATATTAAACTCTTATTTGTTGCCAGCTTTCTGCTTGTCTTATAAAATAAGCCAGTCTTATTTTTGTCATGTCTTGCAATTCCCATTTGTTTTGCAGTTTTACTGACCCAGCTGTGTCCATGGATCTTCTTCGTGCTGTTCTACAGCCAAGCATTAATGAGGAAATTCAGAATGTTTTCAATAAATACATGAAGGTAAGTGCTGTCTACAGGATGCTTCTTTGGTTGTAAACCCCTACATATACCCAGTGAAGTGACTGACCTCAGGTGATCCTCCTACATAAGATGTACCAGTTTATCTATATCTGTCTATCCTCTACATCCATTCAAAGTGCAGAATTTACACAGGCTCTCTCAGCTCTGAAAAGCAGGGGACAGAGAGCAGACGTTACACAATGAGGAGCAGTCTGAGCACACAGGAACAGAGCTGAGGCTGTCAATCAGCTGGAGGTCCCTCCTGTGTCATAATTTTTCTCTTGGTGTCAGGAAAACTCATCAGAAGTGATTGATGCTGATAGCAGAGGAACAAGGCAGCAGACAAAAAAGACATTTACTGTTCTGAACCTGATGCCTCAGTAAAGTGGATCTACCTTCACCTGCCTTATGGAGTCATGGAGATGTCATGTCACCTCAATATAAGATGTCTTCCCCCTTTTATTGGGGGAACAAAAATGATCTGTTGGTCATCTGATCACTCAATGGACCCCCTGAGGACCATACGGCTGTGTGATGTGGGCCTATGTTTACTGTCACATAGGAGGCTGGCCAGATCCCTTTTAACCACTTCCCGTCCGGCTGTTGTATATAAACGGCCAGGCTGTGGCAGTGCGGGGTCGGGTGGCCGTTTATAAATGGCCTCCCCGCACCCTGCTTGTGCGCGCTCCCTGGGAGTGCGCAGCACCGCGATCCGGTGCCCGCTGTGTCCACCGATCATCGGACGGGAACCCGATCTACAGAGGGGTCCTCTGTGATCACATGCAGAGTAGTAAGCAAGATGTCACTTCTGACATCATTGCTTACTACGTGTGAAATCTGTGAATGATCACAGAGGTCACATGGTACAAGGCTATTCACAACAGCTTTATACCATGTGACAAGTTGTGACCAATCACAGCTCACACAGTAGTTCTCAATGGCTGCAAGAATGCAGCCAGAGAGGAGAAATTATTGCTTTTACAGCCTTTATGAGTGTAAATGCAATAGGTGTAAAAAAAAAAAAAAAAATTACCCCCCCCACCAGTAGTACAGTGTCACCATGGTGACACTGTGCTGCTAGGGTGACAGTATGTAAAAAAAAAAAAAAAATAATATATAAAAAAAAAAAAATGTAGAAGAAAAAGATTAAAATTAAAATTTTTGGTTATAAACTAATTTGGGTTATTTTTTTTTTTGCTAAAAAGATAACGGAATACATTTTGCCCAAGATTTATGATGAAATACTATTTATTTGCAAAATTTTTATAAGAAAAACACTTTTTTTTCAAAATGTTTTGGACATTTTCATTTACATAGCAAACAAAATAAAAATCCCAGTGGTGAATAAATACCACCAAAATAAAGCTTTATCTGTCTCAAGAAATGCTAAAAAATTCCTATGGGTACAGTGTTGCATGACCGCGCAACTGTCATTCAAAGTGTGATAGCACTGAAAGCTAAAAATTGGCCTGGACAGGAAGGGGGTGAAAGTGTCCGGACTGGAAGTGGTTAACAGTAATACAATTGAATTCAAAAGCAAAAATTATAAATGGGAAAATAAAACATAGTGTATATACAGAATTTGGACATGCAGCTTTACATAAATCATGTATTATAATAAATATTAAAATTTCCCATCACAAGTTAGAGGTAATATAGTTATTTTTAGAGCATAACTGTTGAATATCTGTCTATAGGGGAAGCAGAACATATTTATAAAACAAGAAGCTCATTTACTTCCAAATACAGTGACATCATTCCTTTATCTTTTATTGGTTGGAGTTATTATTTTTTTGGCTGACCGCTCACTGCTGTGCCATGATAGTAAACATTCAGTCAATAGAAAAACAAATTCATTCTTGCCAATGGAGAAATGAGGGACAGTGTCAATGTATTATGATAGACTTACTACACTCTGTAGTCCTCCACATCTGACACTTCTGAATGTAAAATTGATTTCTACACAGAGTTTTATAGCTACATCTAGGGTTTGCTAGTGAGTTGTGATATGGGGAGGGTGCAAGAAAAAGCTTACAACATCTTCTATGCACTGGTTAAATGGTATAGCAAAAGGAATGGCAAAGATCGTGTTAAAGAGTTTTATTCAGTGATGTCCTAGTATTTTGCACTAACTTCTATTAGTTTTTCCAGTTCTTTCAGAAAGCTGCTTTGAATGTGAGAGAAAATGTTGGCGATCAGGTAGACCCCGAGCAGCTAATCCGTGACACATGCCGCAGTTGTCTGGAGCAGGTGATTCAATAAAATAACATTTGTTCCTGGATCTTTGCCTTATTATTATTTTTATTTACTGGCCCTCTTTCCTATCTTATCCAGGCTAAGGGCCTCTTTACAGACAAAAAGATAATGAAGACTGAGGTTCCCATTTTGAAGGTAAAATGATTTCTTGCCTGTATTAAGGGTAACCATACTTTCTGTTGTATGTCACCATACAGTGGATATAAAAAGTCTACACACCCCTGTTAAAATGTCAGGTTTCTGTGTTGTAAAAATATGAGACAAAGATAAATAATTTCAGAACTTTTTCCACCTTTAATGTGACCTATAAACTGTACAACTCAGTTGAACAACAAACTGAAATGTTTTAGGTGGAGGGAAGTAAAAATAAAAAACTAAAATAATATGGTTGCATAAGTGTGCACACCCTTAAACTAATAGTTTGTTGAAGTGCCTTTTGATGTGATTCCAGCACTCAGTCTTTTTGGGTATGAGTCTATCAGCATGACACATCTTGACTTGGCAATATTTGCCCACTCTTCCTTGCAAAAACTCCACTCCAAATCTGTCAGATGTGCACAGCCCTCTTCAGATCACCGCACAGATTTTCGATCGGACTCAGGTCTGGGCTCTGGCTGGGCCATTCCAAAACTTCTGGTGAAGCCATTCCTTTGTTGATTTGGATGTATGCTTTGGGTCGTTGTTTGTGCTGAAAGATGAAGTTTCTCTTCATGTTCAGCTTTCTAGCAAAAGCCTGAAGGTTTTGTGCCAATATTGACTGGTATTTGGAACTTCATAATTCCCTCTACCTTGACTAAGGCCCCAGTTCCAGCTGAAGAAAAACAGCCCCAAAGCATGATGCTGCCACCACCATGCTTCACTGTGGGTATGGTGTTCTTTTGGTGATGTGCAGTGTTGTTTTTGCGCCAAACATATCTTTTGAAATTATGGCCATAAAGTTCAACCTTGGTTTCATCAGACGTAACACATTTTCCCACATGCTTTTGGGAGACTTCAGATGTGTTTTTTGCAAAATTTAGCCAGGTTGGATGTTTTTCTCATAAGAAAAGGCTTGCCAGTCTACCCCATAGCCCAGATATATGAAGAATACCGGAGATTGTTGTCCTTCCATGTACCACACAGGCAGTACTTGCCAGATATTCCTGCAGCTCCTTTAATGTTTCTGAAGGCCTCTTGGCAGCCTCCCAGACCAGTTTTCTTCTCATCATCATCAATTTTGGAGGAACATCCAGTTCTTGGTAACGTCTTTGTTGCGCCATATTTTCTCCAATTGATGATGACTATCTTCACTGTGTTCCATGGTGTATCTAATGTCTTGGAAATTCTTTTGTACCCTTCTCCTGACTGATACCGTTTAACAATGAGATCCCCCTGATGCTTTGGAAGCTCTCTGCAGACCATGGCTTTTGCTGTAGGATGCGACTAAGAGAATGTCAGGAAAGACCTACTAGAACAGCTGACCTTGGGTTAATCAGAGGCACTTTAAATGATGACAGGTGTGTACTGACTCCTATTTAACATGATTTTGAATGTGATTGCTTAATTCTGAACACAGCTACATCCCCAGTTATAAGAGGGTGTGCACACTTATTCAACCGTATTATTTTAGTTTTTTATGTTTACTTTTCCCCCTAAAAAATTTCAGTTTGTTTTTTCAATTGAGTTGTACATTTTATAGGTCACATTAAAAAAAAGTTCTGAAATGATTTATAATTGTCTCATTTTTTTACATCACAGAAACCTGACATTTTATCAGGGGTGTGTAGACTTTTTATATCCACTGTATGTGTTACTTGACTGCAACAACGCTGCCTAAATATTTCTTCATTGTTTACAGCCGAGACTCTATTTGCTGATCTTCTTTTGCAACCAGAACATGCACCTTACTAAAAGACATAGACTACTATTACTGTCTTGGTGGCCTCCTGGCATTGAGTGTGAGGGAATATTTCTGCAAAGTTGCTGATGCCAGTTGGGATGGGAACAGAATCAGGGAAGTGCAGTTACATTCGGAGATATATACCCCTTTTGTGTTTTCCAGTTATCCCTCTGTTGTGAATCAGATTATCGCAAGTACAATATGGTTACGTTTATTCCCTTTTAATCACTAATTATCCTTTTTATTTATATGTTGTCAAAACAATCTATTAGTCCTGTCATGAAGAAAACAAACTACTGTGTATTATTCACAGTGTGGATAAAAATCAATGATTTTTTTAAAAAAATCGGATTTTTTTTTATTTAAATCGGATTTGTTTTTATTTAAATCGGATTTTTTTGAATAAAATGCTTATTGAGGAAAATATATTACCATCCAAAGGTTATTCCATCATGAAATGAAGATTCGTTTTTTAATTATGTAGAATAAGGCTGTATATGTTTAATTTTTTTGGTAAATAAATTCCATTAATCCATTCACAATGTCATGCTCTTCCAGAGGTTTTTGGAAGATTATTGGGCAGTTTCTCTGCCTACAAGATATTATCACAGATGTTTGGTTTACTTTTGCAGTTCTCAAAACTGAATTTGACTCAGCGGAGATCACATGCCTCTTCTTCACAGCAAAAATGTTATAACATGAACAGAGTTAAGAAAAAGACCTTAATCCTAACTTCTACAAACCTATGAATACAGAATCAACCCCTTCCGTGCTGAGTTTCAAGAAGTTCAGTGAATAGAATAGAAACAATATTTTTCTGATTGTTTGGAGTGGAATAGATCTGCACAAGAAGAAAGTGAAACTAAGTGTGAGGAGGAAGGGGCTGACAGTCTAATGCAGGCCATAGATGGGTCGAAAATCGGCCGATTTTTCTTTTAAAAAAACGAACAATCGGTCGTTCAAGTGGCCGACGTTACCACCAATGGTAAAAAAAAAGTTCATCCCCGTCTACAGCCGCAAAAAGTGTCCCTGCAGAGAGCTCTGCTATTTCTTTGACAGTTCCTTGACATTTACAGAGGTTGCAACAATGTATCTATTTGTATCCATTTAGGATACAGATGTTTTTATTCGGAAACAAATAGATACAATGTTGCAACCTCTGTAAATGTCAAGGAACTGTCAAAGAAATAGCGGAGCTCTCTGCAGGGACACTTTTTGCCGGACTGGAATTCCTATTTTTCATCCTTCTTCTTCTCCTTCTTCATCATCATCCTCTTCTTCTCCTTCTTCATCATCATCCTCTTCTTCTTCTTCTTCATCATCATCCTCTTCTTCTTCTACTTCTTCATCATCATCATCCTCCTCTTCTTCTTTTTCTTCTTCATCATCATCATCCTCTTCTTCTTCTACTTCATCATCATCCTCTTCTTCTTCTTCTTTTTTCTTCATCATCATCATCATCATCCTCTTCTTCTTCGTCATCATCATCCTCTTCTTCTTCAACTTCTTCATCATCATCCTCTTCTTCATCTTCTTCTACTTCGTCATCATCATCCTCTTCTTCTTCTTCGTCATCATCCTCCTCTTCTTCATCTTCTTCTACTACATCATCATCATCATCCTCTTCTTCTTCTTCTTTTTCATCATCATCATCCTCTTCTTCTTCTTCATCATCATCATCCTCTTCTTCTTCTTCATCCTCTTCTTCTTCCTCTTCTTCTTTTTCTTCTTTTTGTCTTCCTCTTGCAGGTCACTGCTCATGCGCAGATTTTTTATCAGTAAAAAATCGGCCGATTAGCCCATTATTGCTGCGAAAATCGGCCGATCGGCCAATTTTTTTCCAACTTTCCCGATTAAAAAAAATGGCCAAAATACCGAAAAACGGCCGAACAAATAGCCCACTAACGATCCGAAAATCGGCCGATTTTCGACCCATCTATGGCCTACATAAGTCTCTTAAAATATATATATTTTGTTTAGCCAAATTAGTTACCAAACATGGATGTTTGTTTAAGCAAATAACATATGCTGGAATGTTATTGTTTCAGATGAATAAATCTATTTAAATTGTTATTATTAAGGTAATGATTATTTTTCTCCTTCCTAAGTACAACAGAAAAGTTGTCCAAATATGAATGATTACTATTAAAATAGAGATAAAAAAACTAATATGAAAAGTTGTTATTCTAAAAATCTTCATCTACTTGCATATTAAAGTTATACCAGCAAGAATTAGTCTTTATGTAGAAAACTAGGATTTAAATCAAGCCTTACTGACTAGTGATTTAAATCGTGATTTAAATCAGTTTGATTTAAATCAAATCCACCCTGATTATTCACCCTTTGGTGCCATAACTTGGCCTTGGCTCCTGCTTCAACTCACTGACAGTGTACTGCTCTAGGCTTGATCAGCCAATGGTTGTCATATGGGGTTAGGGGTTGTGCTTTGCAGTGTGCAATTATTTACCATCAGTCTTTTAGGGTGCAGCAGCAGGAGTCAAAGTAGTGACTATGTTATGGATAAATATGGATCATCAAAAGATGCCTAGCATGCAGTGGGTTCTTTTAATGACAGATTTGCTTTGATAGGTGGTTTGGACAGCATGTATAAAGAATTGGCCAGTAAACGGAAATATAGCCAAACTTAGACATACAATAGGAACACCTTAAAAGATTTCTAGTCAATTCAGTACTTGCGGATCAGTGTATCGCACCTACACCTTGGTTATGCGTTTTCTGATTATCCACTAATTGTGCATAGCTTTAAAATGTAGCCCTTTAAAAGTTTTTTTCGTTTTAGGAATCAGTAAAATATTTTGAGTAGCTAGTAGCAGCTGAGTTTCTGTTTTTCATGTCTTTGTCTCAGCGACCAAGGCAAGTAGATGAGGAGTCAAACATGCGGTGGAGTCCAATACCCAAAAAGGTAAAAATGACTTCAGACTATTAATACATGTTGTATTTTAGTCTACAATAGATGGCCTTCTCTAAAGACTGTCTTTCTTACAGAGAAAAGGGCGCCCCCCTGTACTGAGCTCCCTCAATGACCGAAATTCCTTAGGACTCACATCGTAAGTACAAATAGTAATATGACAATTTATAGCATAGGTTACATCTGAATCATGCTCTTTTTTTCGCCATTTAGTCTCATTTTATTTGAGATGTGATCAGCCAGGATTTCCTGAATTAAAGCCCAACTCCAGCCATGTTTTAAGTTTTTTAGATAGAATGAAGAAGAGTTAATTCTGCTGGGTTTTTGTTTCTTTCTTTGAAAAATGTTCTTTTGGAATCAGGACAGGAAATGGGGAGGAGCACTTGCACAGGGGAAGGAAGTAAGGGGAAAACTCCCCACCGGGGGCAAACAATAATCAAAACCTGAACCCTGATAAAAAAAAAGTTTAAAAAAAAAAAAAAAAAAAAAAAAAAGAAGCTTTGCCTGCAACTGGGCTTTAATAGAATTTGAATACATTTTGCAGCAAATAGGAGAATGCGTGTTAAACTGCCTTTTTAAATGTGTTTCCAATGTAAAAAATCCCATATTTTGTATGAAGCTATAAACACCTCAGCACCTGGATTTTTTACACCAAGATAAATGAGTTACAACTCCATATAAAACAAATATATTTTATTTTTTTTATAAAAGCAATGTATTAAAGAGGAGCTTCAGGCTCCCCCCCCCCCCCCCCCCCCCCCCCCCCCCCCCCCTCCCCCCCGTCCCCCCCCCCCCCCAAAAAAAAAAAAAGATTAAAAGTCAGCAGCTACAAAAATACTGTAGCTGCTGACTTTTATTATAAGGACACTTACCTGTCTATGGGTCCAACGCCGTGTTCACCCCCCACTAGTTCTTCACTAGCCTCAGGATTCCCCACGCTCACAAATCAAGTTAATTTTTTTTACCGCGTGTGTGGCATTCCAATCAAAGCTATGGGTCCTCATATTCTATGGCAGGTGTGTCAAACTGGTGGCCCTCCAGCTGTTGCAAAACTAGTCCCATCATGCCTTTGCCTTTGGGAGTCATGTTTGTAACTGTCAATCTTGCAATGCCTCATGGGACTTTTAGTTTGGCAACAGCTGGAGGGCCACCAGTTTGACACACCCATGGTCTATGGGGATAAGCCCGAAGGGCCACAGACCACCCCCGGAAACAAGACCACTGGAGTATACAAAAAATGCAAAGTCACACTACTTCAAAAGTTTAGGATTTTCAAAGAGAAATAAGGAGGTGCTTCTGATGCCACTACCATTTAGAATACAGACGTGAAACTTTATTCCCAGTTGTCCTTAACATTATTTTGAGTAGCAGGGTGTGTCCTTTGTAATTAAATGTATTCTAAACAAAATTCATATTGCAGTACTACAAGTGCAGTTACTCCAGAGCTTAGTAAACGAGGTAAAGCTTCACTTTTCAAAGAATACCCAATCACATGGACAGACAATTAAAAAAAAAAAAAAAAAAAAAAAACAATTTTTCTTGCACATGATTGGATGATAGAAATCAGCAGAGCGTCCCCTCATTTCAGAGTTTTTCCCTCAGATCTAGAGCCACTGCACTTGCTGGTGTGCTTACAGTTCACTTGCAGTGCGGAGTATATTTGCCTTTAGCAAATCAACCCCAGTGTGTGACATTCTCTTAAACATTTACTACACGTGAATCAATCACTGTAATTTAAAACACATGCTCCAGGTAAATTCTCCTGGAGTGAATGTTTGGTGAATGTCATTTTCACTGCTTTATAACTACGCTGTAGTGTGAATTTCTATAAATGTAGCAAAACCAGGGGCGGACTTACCATTTGGAAACTCGGGCACTGCCCGAGGGCCCGGGGTCAGTAGGGGGCCCCACGAGATGCCCCTGGTACCTTTTTCATAGGCTTTTTTGAGTTTGGGCAAGGACACAGGGGCCCCATGATCCCCTATTGCCCGGGGGCCCCATGAGTTGTCAGTCCGCCCCTGAGCAAAACCGTTAATAATTCCACTGTGGTGGTCTTGTACTGCAATGCACAGTTTCATATGTTCTTCCTCTTTTGATGTTTCTGGTTAAAATTCCATCTATTCAAGTGTTTTGTTTTTTTTTTTTAAGTTTTCATGTCGTTTTGGTTTCATAAAAAGATTTATTGGTAATTTCCATGAAAGTACAATAGACTTACAGAAAAAGTGTAAGAAGAAGGAGCGTAAAGTCTTTTTCTCTAGACTTCTCATATTATGCTTTTTCAGGTAATTTTAATTTTACCTCCTACTGAAATATTAGGATTGAGTGTATAGTTGGTGTAGCTTGTTTACACCCTTTCCCAGAAATTTCACGTGACCACATAACCAAAGATGGGTGATTTCCAATGGCTGCTTATAGAAATAACAAATATTGTGAACATATATTTTGGTAATTTGAAAAAAAAAAAAAACTGCAAAAATTATGTAAATATGGTACTTTTGGCACTTTTTTTTTGTTGTGCATTCTGCACCATACTCTACATAAATGACCAACTCATTGGCCAGTAGTGCAGCACAGGAAAGAGCAAGGTCCAATTTTAATATTTGCATTCCATAGTACCTTTAGGATCCCCCCAGGCACTGAACAGTTAAAACTGGCTGACATGCAGTCATCATGAAGTGTCTGCTTCATATGGTGGCATTTGCATTTTTGTACCCTGGTATCACTTTAGGGTCATTTTTAAAGTTGACATCCAAGCAGGTTTAAAAAAGGAATATGAAACTGTTATGTATTCATTAAAAAAATTCAGTTGCATTTTACATTACCGTACATTCCCAAATGATATCAATGTCCTGTAATCCCTAAATAGCAGAACTCGCCATGAAATGAAAGGGTAGTACTCCAGACCAGATAACGTTGTACTGTTCTACTGCTTTGCACAATGCTGTCAGTCTAACCCAGGAAACATGCATACAAACTAGGGACGTTTTCAACAGGGAGGCTACAGACCTGTCTATGTACTGCAGGAGAGGTGACTGTAGGCTGACTGAACAGAATTACAAATTGTTTGGCAGGTAAAACACTTCACATACATATACCAGCTGTATATTCAGCTGTTTGCCAGAAGTTCAGATTTAACTTACAATCTAATCGTAGAACTACGGGAAAACATTTTATTTCCCCGTGAAGTGGAGCTGTGCCTGCACTGCATGGGTTAACTGCTCATTTTTGTCTAGAGGATTGCAAAGTGGAGATATACTTACCTAATCTGTCGATTTCACGAGGCTAAGACTAGTCCCTGCTGCTCCTGCCCCCCTAACCACTAGCAGTCTTTTGGATGGACTGTTCCTGACGTCATCACGGCTGTAGACCAGATATGGATGTGAAGACGGCAGGAACAATCCACCGCTGGATGTGGGGGGGGGGGAGCGCTGTTTTTCTGGAGGATTGAAGGATCAGATAAGTATAGCTTTTCCTTGTGACCCTGGAAACAATGAGCAGTTAACCCCATGCAGAGCAGGCACAGCTGCACTGCATGGGAAAATAAACATTTTGCTCGGAGTTCTTCTTTGAGTAGAAGCTCAACGTAACAAAAAAATCAGTCAAATGTAGTTTTGCTTTGGGGTATTTTTTTACTGAGTGCATTATTATTAACATTTGTAACACAAACCTTGGCTGTCTCGTAGCTGAATGAAATAGTCCACTTTTTTTTTTTTTCTCTACAGGCTGAAAATCAAAACTGTTGATCCCATCCGACGGGAAGGGCCAAAGGTAAATAAAAGTTGTGATTATGCTTTTTGGATGGAAATTTTAATGTTTCCTATTCAAATGAGAATGGTGCATAGAACTAGCTCCTTTTCAAGCAGACCCAACATACGTACAATATACTGTACAATGGTATCATCATTTCAGGTACACTATTGTCTACTTCCTCTGATTAAGTGCCCATGCAATAGTTCCAGTCTTCCATAGTGATACATATTCAGATAGACGGATACTAAAAAGATACTAATTCCATCTAACTAGCTAACTTATTTTTCGTTTTGGATAAAGACATGAAGGCACAGACAGCAATAAAACATTGATGGAAGTTCTCTCTCCTTCCATTGCTTTGGATTCCTCCATTGGAGGAATGTACCTGTATTTCCTGTCCTGCCAGCTAGAGACACAGATGAAAATAGGAGTCTGTGTCAGTGAGCTTATGTTGATGGCATCAATTTGACATCAGCTAAAGACACTTCTAAGATCATTCAGAAATATTTGACAGGTGAATTTGACCTCCTTCTGACCTGCATTTGGCCTGCCTTACTCTGGTTACATTGGCCCTAAACCTGGCAGAGGCTCTAATCCTTCCCTCCATGTTTAAAACGAAATAAAAAATCCAAATTAATACATCTAAACATTTCTTTGCATAGGCTAACATATGTATTATGTATGCATAAACCACCTACAGCAGAGGTAGGCAACCTTTGAGAGGTAGAGATCTACTTGAACAACGTGAAAGAGATCAAAGAGCTTCAGCACCCTATTATTTATTTATTTTTTTTTTTTAAGAAATTAAGTAGCAAGGCCTAACTAAATATTAAGGACATAAATAATATAACACAAATGTTAATGTATAAATATAAACTTTGCCTACTGTAAAAGTGGACATTGTCAGTTAGTAGAACAATGAACAGTGTCAGTAGGGCAGTGGATGGTTTGTTGACAGTGTTTGTAGGGCTGTGGACGGTGTGTGTTGACGATGTCGGTAGGGCAGTCGACAGTATCAGTAGAGCAGTGGATGTGTCAGTAGAGCAGTGGACCCTGTCAGTAGGACAGAGGTTGGAGTCAGTAGGCAGTGGACAGTGTCAATAGTTTTTTGTTTTTATTATTTAAAAAAACATTTTTTTTGTTGTATTATTTTTTTTCAACAGCCCTGTTAGAGGGCATTGGTGATGTCTCACTTTTGTGACAGAGAATAAGGACACAGTCCTTAATCTCCATTTCTGCAGCATCAACTGCACAGAATGAATGAACAGGAAAAAGCTCTGCGTTGTCTTCCTGTTCATTCACAAATGGAAGCATAGTTAACCAGGGGAGTACAAAGGGGGACCTGAGCAGCAGAAGGAAGGAGAACCTAGACAGTAGGGAGGACGGAGGTAGCATTTACTGGAACCAATCCCCTTTATTTTCCTGCCTCAGCTGCTGCATGCTGGAAGGAGATAGAGGAGGAGAAGCCGACTTTCTGCTGCTGCAGGATGAAAATATAGGGGACCAGGTCCAGTAATTGCCGCACCCACCAGCCCTCCTGTTCCTTTCCAGGTTCTGAGGAAGGGACGCGATCCACCCATCACCTTCCCACGATCAACAGGTAGATCGTGTTTGCTGGGTTGCAGACCCCCACATTACAGAGAAACTTGCTTCTGTCATGTAAACGTCTGCACCTTGCATTTGACAAAGCTAAATACACAAGATCTCAGTAAGGGATTCTGATAAATGGCTTTACAGTATTTCCACATGGTTTGTATTCCTTTTTTTTTTATTTATTTAAACATGTTCCAAAATGTGTTCCGTCTTTATCAAAGGTTAAAGAAACAGAATAGAAGTATGGTTTCTGACTTTTTTTTTGCAGTTTAAAACTAAGGGCTATTGCCTTTACCCTTCCTTTATTACCTGGAGAGCCGTTGACCTGGAACACACCTATTCCAAGTCCTTGACTCTGTAACTAGTTGGGAAGGATAAGAGTGACCACTCTGAAGATTGCACTTTCAGAAACATGTCTGCATAGGTAGCTTGTGACAGCTGTACTTTGAATTGCACTGGTCATACATAATAATATATATTTTTTTTATATGTATATTATTTTGTTATAGTGGGATCCATCTAGGCTTGATGAGAAAACAACATTTGTGCTGGGATCACGTGCCAATAAGTAAGATGCATGTCAGTCATTTCTTAGAGATTGTAATTAACTACAGCCATATACCCTTTCACCAACTTGTTGTGTGTTTGTACCTAGGGCTCTAGGCATGGGAGGGACCAGGGGTCGGATTTATACCAAACACCCAGAGCTGTTTAAGGTAACTGAGAATTCACATACATACTATCATTCAGTGACATAATTCTGGAAGGACCTACTTTATTTTAAAATCAATGGCATCCAAATCCAAATTTCTATCACTGATTAGAATTACCTGGATGAATGCTTACTTGTCATTTGGAACCTCTAAGAGATGAGAGGATGCCTCATTGGAGGTAATGGGTGGTGGGATGCCTGTCTTGATTGAAGTAAACTTGTGCTTTGTTTTAAACTAAAATGCTGTCTGTTACCCTTATTTGCCAGAAATGTTTCTCCTCTGCCCCCCTTTGATTACGTTTCACTTTGTTACACGGCCCTGGCTTTCCTTGACTTTATGGCTTAACCTTGCCAACTACCAATGCCATAATATTAACTATGTGGTCTGTAAGGGTTCTCTCATTGGACAGGGTGATGGCAATTAGTGAAGCTTAGCATCATGAAAAGTCAGGGAGCAGTTACAGTGTAAAACTAAGACAACAATGGGCACAGAAGAGGATTTCCTGGCTGGTAAGGGTAGGAATTTTGTGATGTCAATCTTGTCTCCAAATATCAACCAAACCGTACTCTCCGCTCCTCGCACGACCTCCTGCTCTCTAGCTGCCTTGTCTCCTCCTCCCATGCTCATCTCCAGGACTTCTCCAGAGCTTCCACCATCCTCTGGAACTCTCTACCCCAATTTATCACACTATCACCTACTCTGCTCACTTTTAGGCGATCTCTGAAAACTTATCTCTTCAGGGAAGCCTATCCTGCCCTCAGCTAATAATGAAATCTTCTACTCCTCCTACCAGTCCATCCTCCACAGTTACTACCTTTTGTACCACTAGCCCCTCCCTCTTAGATTGTAAGCTCCAAGGAGCAGAGCCCTCCTATCCCTCTTGTATTGAACTGTATTGTTGCTGTATCATCTCCCGTTATATTGTAAAGCGCTGAGCAAACTGTTGGCGCTAAATAAATCCTGAATAATAATTATAATAATAATGTCTTATCTTTGTTTAAAACTAAGTAAAGGTTTGCTTTGACACTATTTTCTGCTTTAAAGCATAATATCTGCTGATCTCAAAACAATTGCTTCCCCATCCCTCAACATATGCAGAATATAATGCTTGTTTATTTACACTATTTACTGTTTTCTGAAAGTTTCCCTACCCTTTTATCCACCCTCCACCTAACTGATGAAGGTCACCCCACTTCCCTTTCCCAACCCCAAAGCTCCATACTTACCTAGTTCTTGTACCTGTCCAGGCATGATGTTTATCTTTGACTGGCTGATCCTATTCTTCCTGCTACCTGTACATTTGCAGTAGAGCTCCATAGACTTTTGTGGATTTGGGAAATGAATCAGCGCTTATCCATCTCCCAGCCACATCAAAAACATCCAAGACAACCTCACTAATATGGATCCCATGCCTTGGTTATATATACTCTCACCTTTTACTTTACAGTGGGAGCTGCTAGCACCATAACTGATCCTAAAATGTAACCGCTTAATGTGAAAAAATAGATCCAAAAAGTGCCGCACCCCAAAAACCTCACATACCAGCTATATGTGTATACATAAATCCTATAAAAAAAAACACGCAGTCCTATATATATATATATATATATATATATATATATATATATATATATATATATATATATATATATATTGTATATTCACATCAGTCCCTGCCCTCAAGAAGCTTACAATCCTAAGGTCCCTAATTCACATTCATACATACACATACTAGGGCCAGTGTAGACAGGAGCCAGTTAACCTACCAGCATGTTTTTGGAGTGTGGAAGGAAACCAGAGTACCTGGAGGAAACCTACTCATGCACAAGGAGGCCATTCAAACTCCATGCAGGTAGTGCCATGGTTGGGATACAAACCAATGGCCCTAGTGCTGCCAGGCGGAAGTGCTAACCACTTAGCTACTGTAAATGTTAGAACTCGTGTAATATAAATGAATGCTAAATCAGTTTACAACCATTCCAACTGTGTGTGAATCCTTACAACTGTATGTTTTATAAGAATGAAGGATTCACACACAGTTGGAAATGCTCTCTTTTTTGTGGAATGGTTGTAGACTGGTTTAGCACTCATATATAATATGCATGAACGTCAATCACTTTATGGAAATTAATTAAGGACATACTGCAAGATTTTTGTGTTTTTATGATTTATGTATACACATATAATTGGTATAAAAGGTATTTGGAGTGCAGTGCATTTTGGATTTATTTTTTCATCCTAGATATTTGCAAGCCAAAATACAGTTTTTCTTTGCCTTGTTCTTGATTGGGCATTCAGAGTGAACACATGTTAACCTTGTTTTCTAAGGTATGTGATCATACACTTTGCAGAATGAACACTCAGACTGCTAAAAGAACAACCTCTACCCTTTAGGTAAACCCCTTTATGATAAACTGAAAAATTGCAGCGCTAATTAAAAAATTATAATGTCCAAATTAAGGTCCTTATAAGTCCTCAAGGAAATGAAACAAGATAAAGGAGAATGATCTTGTATACCGTCACCGTACACCCGGAAAAAAAATGTCCCCTTACCGGACTCTTTGACCGTATACAGTGGTCGGTATGCGCAGTATAATATGGTGAATAATTTCCAATGGATATCCTCTCCCAGGTAAGGATAATGACTGCTATGAAAAATCCCCAATAACACCGGTCAATAAGCTCAATGTAATAGGGACTCAGAATGGCAGGCTATCCACAGAGGAATTCCTCTTGCAAATAAAAGATGAACTATCTACTTCAAAACTTCTTAAACTTCCAAGAATCTCCCATCCGGCAATCAGAAAAGGGATAACAAACAGGAAAAAACTCATAGTGTAGTATTCAGTCAATACTTTGGCCAATATATTAATAGATCAACGTACATCAAATCATAAGATAACCAGTATTGAATGAACAAAAGTTTAAAACCAAGAAAATGGCCGCCGTCCCTCCAGAAAGCGGTGACGTCACACAAGCCGAAGCTCCTTCCAAACACGTTTCGTCAGGAAGACGTCGTAACGCCCCTGCCCAGGCAGGGCAGACAGATACATATGGAACCAGTGCAGTAGAATTGCAGCATGTTGGGTACAGCATTATTTAAGTGAACTTGTGAGCCACTGGAGTCAAAAATCAGTGTATTAGATCGCTGGAATTTTTTCTCACCCTCATAAGATGTGAACTACATAAGAATAATGAATAATTAACCGCGCTCTAATATTATCGTGCCGATACTATATATATTTAAAAAATATATCACTAATTGATATATACTGTGACAATATCAACTTATCGACTGCATTACCTAAATTAATCTAATTATATTACCACAGTGTTTGGTAAAACATAAAAATAAAAAGTGTGTGATTAAATCCAACAGTGATAATTTTACAATATAACTATCTCATTAAAAATAAATAAATAAATTCATAAAATTCACTGTGCAAATGTGAAAAACAAAAATAATTATAAATCTCTCATTAGAAATAAATAGATAAATTCATAAAGTCCAATGTGCAAATAGTGCAAAGCAAACAATAAATTATGTATATATGTGAAAGATAAATAAAATAAAAAAGATTGTTTAAAAATTTATTTTAATTAATTTAATTTTAATTTAAATTTCACATATATACATAATTTATTGTTTGCTTTGCACTATTTGCACATTGGACTTTATGAATTTATCTATTTGTTTCTAATGAGATATTTATAATTATTTTCGTTTTTCACATTTGCACAGTGAATTTCATGTATTTATTTATTTTTAATGAGATAGTTATATTGTAAAATTATCACTATTGGATTTAATCACACACTTGTTATTTTTATGTTTTACCAAACACTGTGGTAATATAATTAGATTAATTTAGGTAATGCAGTCGATAAGTTGACGTTGTCACAGTATATATCAATTAGTGATATATTTTTTTAAATGTTGGGTACAGCATTTACCGTATTTTTCGCTCCATAAGACGCACCTGACCATAAGACGCACCTAGGTTTTAGAGGTGAAAAACAAGAAAAAAAAATATTCTGAACCAATGGACTGCAGACACAGTACAGAAGATGACCAGAGACTGCGGACACAGTACAGGGGATGACCAGAGACTGCGGACACAGTGCAGGAGATGACCAGAGACTGCACAGTGCAGAGACTGCAGACACAGTGCAGGGGATGACCAGAGACTGCGGACACAGTACAGGAGATGACCAGAGACTGCGGACACAGTGCAGGAGATGACCAGAGACTGTGGATACAGTGCAGGAGATGACCAGAGACTGTGGATACAGTGCAGGAGATGACCAGAGACTGAGGACATAGTACAGGAGATGACCAGAGACTGCGGACACAGTGCAGGAGATGACCAGAGACTGCGGACACAGTGCAGGAGATGACCAGAGACTGCAGACACAGTGCAGGAGATGACCAGAGACTGCGGACACAGTACTGGGGATGACCAGAGACTGCAGACATAGTGCAGGAGATGGTCAGAGACTGTGGCCACAGTGCAGGGGATGACTGCGGACAGTGCCAGGGGATGAGACTGTGGACAGTGCAGGGGATGACCAGAGACTGCAGACAGTGCAGGGAATGACCAGAGACTGCTGACCTTTGGGGAGGGAGGGGGAGCGGGTACCTGAATTTGACAGGTACCCGCTCCCACTTCCGCGGAGTTGTCCTTCCCTCTTCTTCCTGGGCCGGCTTCTGTGACAGCCGGGTGTCCACTGCGCATGCGTGAGAAGCGCTTCGCTTTGTGAATGGCCCGGCGCCTTCTGGGACCTGTCATGTGTCCCAGAAGACACCGGATCATTCACAAAGCGCAGCACATGCGCAGTGGGCACCCGGCTGTCACAGAAGCCAGCACGGGAAGACTGTGCAGCGCTGGAGCGAGGAACAGGTAAGGCCCTGCAGGAGACAACAGCTGAGCGGCCGGCCCGGTGTTTCTGACATGGTGGCCGCAAAAATACCGGACCGGCCGCTTTATATTCGCTCCATAAGACGCACTGACATTTTCCCCCCTTTTTTGGGGGGAAAAAAGTGCGTCTTATGGAGCGAAAAATACGGTATATACATACATCCATCCTAAGTGGATGTATGTGAGGCAATATTCAATATGTTTCAAACACGGAGCTGCTGGATGGAGAGCTGTAGTTGGGTAAACTGCACCTTTTTAGATTCCTAGAATACTAAGCACTACAGATTTGAGCTTTGCTGCTCATATTAAGTATGTTAACATTACACTGTTGGTGAGTGATCTAAAAAAAGGGACAGTAGCCAATGAACGATATACAGTATGTCTACCAGCCAGTTTGTCTTGTAGTGAATGATGAATGCGCTGTCTTATGCTTCTCTCCAAGTGGACCATTTCTTTGAATATAGCTCATATACCTGTTGTGTCAATTTTCCAGTATGCAGCTGATGCCCAGGACAAACAGTGGCTAACAGAACAGCAGCACATGAAAGCCACAGGTGGCAAAATGGTATGTTTTTGGACTCGGACATTTATAAAGAATAAAGTCCTGTGAAAAGGGCAGTCGATTACCCCACTTGCATCCTGAAATATTAAAGACATCAGGGGGTGATTCATCCCATGGCATCCAGCTGTAGTATAATTGAAGTAATTTTTGGGTGGAGTAAGCTTTTACTTTTTATATCACCAATTGTGCCCAGGTCTGAGATCACACTGTTACATTACTAACCGGTAGAGGCAAGCTGGGATTCAACTGGAAAATCCGGTTTCTTCTAAGGTTTTTTGCAGAACAAAAACAATTAATTATTGTCATGAGCTTTCTGCATTCAGGTATTTCAGAATACAATTTCACTAAGTTATTTTATTTTATATACTTTAGTTGATAGCAGTCATTTTACTTGTAATGCTTACCTGATCTTTCAGTTTGTTAATATAAAATATTAAACCAAAAATGCTAAAGAATGGGTATAACTGATAACCCCAGCATAACAATTTAAATGTCATACAATAACAGAAAAGAAGAAAATTGTGGAACTTTAAAGATGCTAAAATATCTACCCTCAGGGAAAAAACACACTTAACAGCAGATATAAAATTCCAAGTTTTATTACAAAAGCATATTAATAAAAGGATGATTAATGGCCTCCCAAAATAATAAAAACATTCTTATTTATTTATTCTTAGATGCATATCAAAGTCAGTAGACCCCATACACCTTCCCCTCTTGGTATTTAACCACAAAAGATAAGGATATATAGTATTAACCAATAAAATATTGATGGAGACAATGTGGGGAGATGTAATATTCCAACACATTCTGCAAGTCGAGCTTCTTCAGGGGTTTGAGGGGTGGAGAACAATATTTATCATCCAAGACATAGGGATATTGTACGTATGGTTGAGGACTTACAGAGAGCAGACATGGAGAGGGGGAAAGAGGTAGCAGGCCAGATGAGGGGACCCCGGCGGTCCCAACTATGGGGTCCCAGGGTGAAACAGAGGGAGGACACAATATAGTATAGCATTTAATAGATGAAGACCACCAAACCACCCACTTCACATATACTGGGTAGAAAGCCGTGTATCTTGAACAGCACACCATGATGGAGACAGTCCTCACTCCAATCAATGACAGCTTTGTACTTTTTTGATATGCATCTAAGATTATTATTTTGGGGGGCCATTAATTCTCCTTTTATTAATATGGTTTTGTAATAAAACTTGTAATTTTAGATCTGTTATGTGTTTTTTTTTTTTTCTTTTTTTTCTGAGGGTAGATAATCTTTTTTTTTCTGTTATTAAACCAAATATATTGAAACTACTGTGTGTGTTGTAGGTGTACCTTCTTTTGGACCAAGATATCCTAGATTTGGCAACCACTGACGAGTACAGGTATGGATACACCAAGCACTTGATTAAATTGGACCTTGGATTTACTTTTAATACATTTTATGAATAAATTATTGACATGTCACAATATCATAACAGTATAGCTTGGAAAAGCCATACCTTTTATCTTTTAAAAAGCATCCATCAAGCTGCAGTCAGGTGATTTTTTTTTTTTTTTTTCCCTGGGCTGATAGCTGGAGGCAGGAGAAAGCATTTCCTCAGTCTTCTCTACCCAAGTGATTAGGCCACAACATTTAAAATTTTTAGCACGTCAAAAGGTGAAGGGCTAACATCAGAAATTAATGAACACTGCCATGAACTGCCCTGGCACCAGGATTTACTTGGCTGTGTCATCTTTATTTGTAATCTTCATCCAGGCAGTAGATGCTGAACCTAGATTGTCTGAACAAAGATGGTAAAAAAAAAAGGAGATGAAAGCATTATCAGGTGGGGTTCGGGACGGGTTGATTAGGTAATAAATACATGCACACTTGCACATTATACAGCAGGCATGCCTTTAAAGTGTTACTAAAGCCAGGATCCTGCATTCACTATATCTGGTCTCCCACAGTATGCAGAACATGGAAATTAAATTATATTAGTAAATATGAACTGTTAAATATCTTTTCTCATCAGATGTTTGAGCAGTCTTGTGACTTCTATCAATGTCCAGCTGAGCACTGGTTAACGCTTGTAGGGGAGTTTTCATTCTGTTTTGGCTGTCCTATAAGGCTGCATAACCCCTGACCTTCTGTCTGGACAGTGCTGATTGGCCCTGCGCTGATCACATGCACCCTCCCCCTAAAAAAAACTCTAGCAATACACACTAAACTGAGCATGTACAGAGTGACTCCTAGAGCTCTGTACTATCAGCAGATGTATTGGGGACAGTAGAAGAAGGGGAGGATCAGAGAAGATAGGATTAACATCCTTTTTAAACAATGTGGAGGATTAACCCCTTAGGTTCCACAGTGAGTTTAACAAAGCTTGCTTTACTGCATATACAAACTTATTTAACTGATGTAGGTTTAGTAACACTTTAATAGAAAAATAAAATATGCTACGTGCATTTTAATAGTAGCCTGGTTTACTTTCACATTACTTTGTCCACACATGAAAATTTCTGCTTATACAGATATATAGAAATTGTAACCCATACTCAAATTCCCTGTGTTGAAACAAGAGGTATAGTTAAATCCACTTAGAATGTAGCAAACATACAGTGCTCAGTATAAACAAGTACATCCCAATAGATTTGTCAGAAAACCTTTTACTGTCCTTTTCAGAATCAACATTTTGTATAGGATACTATACTACAAAAATACTCCCACGAATGCAGGCTATTGATTGCAAACAAGATTTGCTATTTGCACACACAAAAGAGTATTTTTCCTAACAAATTCATTCAAGACCATGTTACAAACATGAATACACCCCAATGAAAGTGTTATGCAGGCCATACATGGGTCGAATTCCAAACAATTTTGTGATCGAAAACGTTCGTTCTGTAATCCGATGGTGCCACCAATGATTTCGAAAATCGGTCGTTTTTTCACAAATTTTCCAGCATGCCCGATAAACGAAATGAGGAGGAACCACGAAAATCAGCCCCACTAACAGAGTGAAGATCGGCTTATTTTTCTTAGGTCCGATTTTCATACGGAAATCGCTTGGAAATCGACCCATGTATGGCCAACCTTAGGAGCAAAGCTAAATTGTAGACAACAAAATCCTAATTAACAAGAATTCAACTACAGGTGAGTCTAATTATTCATTACACAGGTGTCCAGCAGACAGTTGATTATAAAAGGAAGTTACTTAACAAAGAAAACCCCTTCCCATTTCATGCTGTCAGCAGTGGCACCACATTAAAGAGAAATGTCACAAGGCCTGAGAGAAAATCATTTTTTTGCACAAGAAAGGTGAAGGCTACAAGAACATGAGCAAAGTTTTACTTATCAGTCAGAATACTGTAGCAAAAGTGATACAAAAATTTAACAAAGATTGAACTGAAACCATCTCACAGAGATGTCCAGGCCGTCCACGGAAGTTAACACCTCAACAGGAGCGTCTTCTGATGACAATCACCATGCAAGTTTACTGCAGTTAGCTAAAAAAGTAGAATGCCAAACTGGGGTGATTGTTTCCCGTGACACAATACGGCATGCACTGCAGAGGAATGGCATGCATGGGTGTCGTCGACGAAGGAAGCTTCCAAAGCTCATGCACAAAAAAGTCTGCCTAGAATTTGCCAGGGCCCATGCTGAAAAAGAAGACTTCTGGGACTCTGTACTCTGGACTGATGAGACCAACATAAATGTTTTTGGAACTGATGGCTTCAAAACTGTATGCCATTGCAAAGGTGAGGAGTACAAAGAAAAATGCATGGTGCCTACAGTGAAACATGGTGGTGTCAGTGTCCTTCTGTGGGGCTGCATGAGTGCTGCTGGTGTCAGAGAGCTGCATTTACTGGATGGTATCATGAATTCACAGATGTACTGCTCTATATTGAAAGAGAAGATGCTACCATCACTCCATGCCCTTGGTCGTCATGCACATTTCCAACATGACTGATCTAAAACACACATCTAAGGCTACTGTTGCATTTCTGTAGAAGAACAGGATGAAAGTGATTCAGTGGCCAAGTATGTCTCCTGAGCTGAACCCAATCGAACACCTATGGGGAATTCTGAAGAGACAAATTGGGCATCACTCTCCATCCAGCATCCAGGCTCTAAAAGAGGTCGTTCTAGAGCAATGAAAAATGATAGATATTGCAATATGTCTCCAACTTGTTCATTCCATAACTAGAAGACTTAGTGCTGCCCTTACAAATCATGGAGGTCATACAAAATACTAGATGTAGTTGTTTTTGCTGTGGGGTGTATTCAGTTTTACATCACCTAATTTGAGTAAAACTGAAGATTTTGTAATCTAAGTTATATTATTAACCTTATCTTCTTGTAATGAGCTAAAGAAATGTTCTATAAAACTCAGTTTTGTCAAGCTTTTGGAACTTGTTCTTGTGTTCATTGAGATATTGATTAAAATCTTACTTTTTTCAAAAGGGATGTACTCATTTATGCTGAGCACTGTAGCTGTGTTGCTAATAGCAGGCAGATAAAAGCTAAATATTGATATTGTTGTTAAAGTTACAGAACTAAAGAAAGCATCTGATTTAATACTGTGAGCTTAATATCTACTTTTTATACATTGACCTACGGCATCTTTCCTATAGTTGTATAGTTCACAATGCAAATCTATAAGTCAGTTAAAGTGATATTAAAGGTTAGGATTTTTTTAAAATAACAACCATGTCATACTTACCTGCTTTGTGCAATAGTTTTGCACAGAGCAGCCCGATCCTCTTCTTCTACGGTCCCCCGCCGGCGCTCCTGCCTCCTTCCCCTTGAACAGTGCCCCCAGTAGCGAGCAGGCAGGTGGTCAGGCCTACATCACTCAGTGGTTGAGTGGCCAGGTTTATGTCTCCCAGTGGGTGTGCTTTCATCACACAGTGGGGAAATATGTTCCCTGTTTGTGTACTGCATTCCAAAATCAGCTGGTGTTTTGACAGCAAGGCTCCAGTTGGGAGCTGCTGTCAATCGACAACAGCAGGGCTAGCCGGGGTTGGTGTGACCGTGAAAATGACCACGGGAGATACAGGCATAATGTGCATTGACATGGCATCCTTTACCTGCTAGCATCGATCCCTGGGGTGAAAATGAGTACGCCAGCACAGAACATCTTCCATGTTTGGCGTAGTCAGTTTGAAACCAGAACCAAGGGGAACTGGCAGGATCACCAGCTGTTTTACAGCAAAGGAATAAATAAACATATTAAAGGCTATATTTAAAAAGAAAAATATGTATATACACAATCACAAATATTGAATCTACATTTTTGGTGTAATATACAATTTAATAGGACACGCTTTTTTTTTTTTTTTTTTTGTGGCCAGTAACTTATCTCAACAGTCGGCATCTTTAGAAACAATTGCACTGAACCAATTAGTATACTCTTTGCATGCATAAATCATACTAAACAGCATTAAAGATGGTCCATAGAGGTAAATTTAAATGTATGCAAACCCTAAGAATGAACTTCTTTGATTTTGCTTTCTTCTGGTCACCCTTAAACTTAACCTATCCACAACCGAGCTCCTGGTCTTCCGCCCTTCCCGCGCCCCCCCCCCCCCCCATCCTCTCCATCACCACTAACAACGCCACCATCTCTCCCACCCCACACGCCAAAGTCCTGGGTGTCACCCTGGACTCCCACCTCTCCTTCCTACCCCACATCCAACTTCTATCTAGATCTTGCAGGCTCCACCTCCGCAACATCTCCAAGATACGCACATTCCTCACCCCAAACACCACCAAACAACTCGTACACTCGCTCATCATCTCACGCCTGGACTATTGCAATTCCCTTCTCACTGGCCTACCCAAACGAACGCTATCCCCAATCCAGTCGATCCTGAACTCAGCGGCTAGACTCATCCACCTCACCAACCGCTCCACATCCGCCTGCCCCCTCTGCCAATCCCTTCACTGGCTCTCGGTTGCCCAACGCATCAAATTCAAACTGCTTACTCTCACCTACAAAGCCATTCCCAACGCCGCCCCAAACTACATAACCGACCTGATACCCAAATACTACCTTACCCGTGCCCTCCGCTCCTCACAGGACCTCCTACTCTCTAGCTCCTTGGTCTCCTCCTCCCACTCCTGATTGCAGGACTTCTCTAGGACTTCCCCCCCATCCTCTGGAACTCCCTACCTCAATCCATCAGACTGTCACCTACCCTCCTCACCTTCAGGCGCACCCTGAAAACCCTCCTCTTCAGGGAAGCCTACCCCAACCTCACCTAACACCTGACCTCACCTAACAACTAACCTCCTCCACTCCTCCCACCACTCCATCCCCCACAGCCATTTCCTCCTGTACCACTTTCCCCTCCCTCCTAGATTGTAAGCTCGAAAGAGCAGGGCCCTCGAACCCCTCGTGTATTGTATTGTTACTGTCTTGTCTCATGTTCTGTCCCCCTTGCTACTGTACAGCGCTGAGCAAACCCTTTGGCGCTATATAAATACTGTATAATAATAATAAATATCCCATTGAAAGAATTTTGTTATATATGTTTGAAATGTGCAAAAAATACCTGTTGATCCTGCTAGAAATCTTGCAAACTAGTAACTTTCTATGCTGTCTGCCTCTGCTAACTCTTTTAGGTTAGCACTGTTTCCAGTTCTCTTTGTGAACTACAAAACATTTTCTCCCTGTTTATGTTATGGAGAAGATGTCATGTTCTATATATTCCTGTTCTATGGTGACAATGCTAATCCTCCATAGATACAATATGGTGGGCTTTCTCACCCCATGACAGGAAGTTACTGGTATGATTGCTAGGTGAAAAACAAGGATAAGAAGCCTGGAAAAATGAAAACGAATGCAACTACTACATCTAAAGACTAGTAAACTGCAATACATTACATACTACATATTGTTCTTGGATTTAGTTCATGTACCTATTGTATACTGAGCTAACACTCTGTTCTTGGGGGAACAGTGAAGATCCTCTGATAATATTTAGTGTTGCTTGTCAGCTTTTGACATGGATTACTTTTCTCCTTCCTCCAATCATTTGGTCAAAGGTTAAATCCAGCCCTGCAAAATCATCATTGTGTGGCCTGTCCAGTGTCATATAGACTTTCTCCTACACAAAGCAACCAGCAGATGTGTGCTATGCCTGCATCAATTTCAGAGGGAACCCATCCACAGGCTAGCAAGATCTCCTAGCATTGGAGTTATAGTAGGAGGGCAGTAAAGGTTAACTTCACTCGAAGTGCACTCATCCACTTCCCGTCCGGCCCATGTATATAAACGGCCGGACGGGAGCAGTGCAGGAGCGGGTTGCCGTTCATAAACTGTGCCTGCATTTTCAGCCTGTGCGCGCTCGCTGGGAGCGCATGGCACCTCATTCTAGTGCCTGTTGTGTCCGGAGGCCACAGCAGAACACCGATCGCTGTACGGGACCTCTGTGTGAGTTCTCGATCATGTGATCACTGACTGACCAATCAGTGATCACATGAATAGTAGTAAGCAAGATGTCACTTCCTGACATTGCTTACTACTAGTGAAATCTGAATGATCACAGAGGTTACATGGTACAAGGCTATTCACAACAGCCTTGTACCATGTGACAAGCTGTGACCAATCACAGCTCTCACAGTATTTCTCAATGGCTGCAAGAATGCAGCCAGAGAGGAGGAGAAATGATTGCTTTTACAGCCTTTATGGGTGTAAAAGCAATCAGTGTAAAAAAAAAAAAAAAATCTTCATCACCCCCCACAAGTAGTACAGTGTCACTATGGTGACACTGTACTGCTAGGGTGAGAGTATGTTAAAAAAAGAAAAAAACTAAATACAAAAATGTAAAAAAAATTTTTTGAAAAATTATAATTTTTGGTTATAAATTAATTTGGGTTATTTTTTTTTTTTTTTACTAAAAAGATAGCTGAATACATTTTGGCCAAGATTTATGAAGAAAGATTATTTATTTGCAAAATTTTATAAGAAAAACACTTTTTTTTTTTTTTTTTTTTTTTTTTTTTAATTTTTGGACTTTCATTTATATAGCAAAAACAATAAAAATCCCAGTGGTGAATCAATACCACCTAAATATAGTTTTATCTGTCTCAAAAAAATGCTAAAAAATTCATATGGGTACAGTGTTATTCAAAGTGTGACAGCACTGAAAGCTGAAAATTGGCCTGGGCAGAAAGGGGGGAAAAGTGGTTAACCTTTAATTTGTCATTTGATGTCTCCAGGAGCCTTGCACTGATTCTATCATTTCCAGTTCTCTATTTCTGCATTTTTATCTCTCACTTGTGGCTGGTTTTATTACAGAGAGAATCATTGGAGCTGAGGCTGGATGAATTAAAGTCATTCGTCGCTCCACTTTGGATGATTGTGAAGATGAAAAAGTACATGGAGCTGGTGCGGACGGAACAAGAGTAGCTACCAAATGTTGTGTTGACACTCCCTGAATTATCTTCTTGAAATGCGGTTGACTTTCATAATGATAAAAGCTATTTTACAAAGCCATCTTGGCCAAATGACAGAGTCCAGTAATGGTGGGACAAAAAGCAGTGATGATGATAAAAGGGCAGTTAGCAGCAACGACTATATAGAAATCATCCATTTTCATCTGATTATGGTAAACTGTAATCCTATTAGTTGCTAAGGATACCTGCAATGTAAAAATTATTATTTCTCACCATGAATAGGGGTCCATTTACACCAAAATACTGTGTGCTGCTCTTCATTAACCTTTTACTGCCACCACTGTATGATGGTGGCTTCGGAAGGTTTTACACACTGTGTGTTTACACTCCACAAGCTGTCAGCTTTCTAATGAAAGCGATCCGGCAGCTGAACAGCCACCTGATCTTTTTGCGAACCCCAAACCAAAAACATTTTGAGCCCCTCCGCCCCTACATGCATGAACATATGCACTTAAATGCACCCGTTGAGGTTGCCTACATACACATCTTGCATGTCACCATGAAAGCTACAGTGAGAGCAATATTTCTAGGACCACTAATAATGGTTCACTCTAAACCAGTGGTTCTCAACCTGTGGGTCGCGACCCCTTTGGGGGTCGAACGACCCTTTCACAGGGGTCCCCTAAGACCATCAGAAAACACATATTTCTGATGTGTAAAGAGCAGCTACTGTGTAGAAAGCAGCTGCTGTGTTGAAAGCAGCTACTCTGTTAAAAGCAGCTACTGTGTTGAAAGCAGCAGTATTGGAGGTAAAACGACACTCATGAATTATAATTACTGGGTAAATAATTTTATGGTTGGGGGTCACCACAACATGAGGAACTGTATTAAAGGGTCGCGGCATTAGGAAGGTTGAGAACCACTGCTCTAAACTGATGTCCTGTAGCAGCTATTAAAATGTTACCTATAGAAAATATAGGGTACTGACGTTCACCATTGTTTTGTAGGCACTCACAAATTTAAAGCTTGACATATTGGGTATCTATTTACTCAGCACAGCCTCATCTTTCATACCAAAAAATTGGGTAATAAATTACAGTTTTGTGCCCTAAAATGAACTTTTAAAGTATTTTTCCTGAAATTTTGCGCTTGATTAAATGCTGTACAAATATGTGACATAAAAAATTCTCCAGTCTCTGCTTTCAGAAAATATATAAAGTTTGGGGGTTTTAACTCCTTTTTAGGTAAACATGCAAAAAAAAAAAAAAACCCCACAAAAAAAGGCGCTGGCAGTGAAAGGGTTAAAAAAAAATCAATGAATTTTGGATGGGCTAAAACGCAAGCAACATGAAACTGGTGCTGGCTGCATTTTTTTTCAAAGTGAAATGCACAGAACATTGTATGTTGTGCTGCGGTGCCTTGCAGCCCAGGTGGGTTTTGAAGGTATGTTGGGGTGCCATTCACAATGAATTGCACCATAGGGCACAACGCATGTAATGTGCATTACTGCAGTCTTCTGGTGTGAATGGGCTCCAAGACATCCTTCAGTACATTTCCAGAAGAATACTTCTTTAAGGTACAGGGTTTAGACAAATGCTGTCATTTGAATGAATATGTAGTCTGTTTTTCCTTTTAAACCATTGCAAAATGTAAAGTTAAACCTGTGCTTTAAAAGGTCATCCTAATAAATAAGCTTGCTCAAAATCGTAATTCATTCTGGAAGGTAGCTTACATATGACATATTTACAATTGCTGACCTAATGTGAATGTATAGTTTATTGACGTCACTAAAGACGAAGCTCAGAAAATAACACACTTTTAGTAGGATCTTTTTAATATAAAGTAAGAACTAAAGAGTGGAGAAGGGTTAGAACTTTTGTCACGTTCTATTGACACATTTTATTACCCTTTTTGTTTTAGTAGAACTATGAAAGTTTAGCATGTCTAGGGCTTCTATTGTGGTCTGTGCCTTCATGTCATGATGACTCCCCTAATTTCCTTTTTTGGGGTTCCCTCTTTTGCGGAGGTCAGTTTTTACTGTTGCGTAATGTCCATAGGATAGAAAGGTTGGGAAAATCCAAAATTGTCAATAGGGGTATAAGGGGTAGACAATTGATCAAAGTTTGATTTCCCCCTCTATAGTGCAAAGTGTTCAACTTACTTCCTGCTGTTTCTCTAGGGCAGCAAATTGAGGAAAATTGCTGAGGACACAAGTTTTTTTTTTATTTTTGTTTTTTTGCTAATGAGCTTTTAGACAAAGCTAGCAAAATGTTTTTTTTTTTCTTTAAGAGGTCCAAAACTTTGATACAAGGATCCTACTGTGGGGCTCACCTAATTCCTGCCAATTCCTGTGGCACTTCGCATTTGACAGAGTGCCTTTTACTTCCATCATATGTGTGACAGCAAATGTGTGGAGTCAATATGGATACCATAAGCCAAGCTTCCAACAATCTGTATACTGGACAGCAATGTCTGCCTCTTGTCAGAGTGAGTGGATTGAATGGAAAGAGAACATATAGTGCTGACTGAGTTGTACCACCACACTTGGCAGCAAATAGATCGGGCCTACAGTTGAGAGCAGGTATCTATTTCTGGGAACAGGTACCTATTTCTGTCAGGTACCCGCTCCCACTTCCTCTATTCTTGTCTAGACGAATATACCAGAAGTTCAACTCTGTGCCTGCAACCTACTGGGACTCCTAGGTCACAAGTACCATGAAGCTGCGATACCAGGGTAAAGTTGGCCATACGTTTTAAGACTTTCTTGTACAATTTCCTTTTTAGATTTACCTTCAACTATGTAGTGCAAGGGCCTGCCTGATTGGATACAAATTAAAAGTATTGTTTCGGTTTGACTTCATATTATATGGTTTTTGGTACATCTAAAGGTAAATTATATAATGTATGGCCAGCTAAAAGAGCAGCTCATCTCTTGTATGCGCAGTGGGGAGCAGGAAGTCTCGGTCAGCTTCCCACAGTCAAGATGGCGGTGCTGGGGACCCGAAGATCTGCAAAGAACTGCACTGGGTGAAGACAGTGCTGGATCCTTGGGCTGGTGAGTGTCTGTTTAACCACTTGCTAATCGCACTAAAGCCGAATGACCGCTACAGCACGGTTGTCTACAGCTACTGGGGACAGCTGATCACATGATGAGGTAAAAGGCCAATCACAGTGGCCTTTTACTATGTGTCCAATGACACAGCAGATCAAGGAGTAAATACAGTTGGCGGTTATCAGCAGCACTTTCCTCACTCTGTCACAACGTGAGGAAAGTACTGCCGATAACCGGCAAATGTGACAGAACAGATCGACACTGATGATCAGTGCCACCCATCAGTTCTGTAGAAGCAGTTGTGCCCATCATTGCTGCATGTCAGTGCAGCATCATCAGTGCCTCCTCATCAATGCCCATCAGTGCAGCCTCATTAACACACATCAGTGAAGGAGAAAAAAATACCTGTGTGCAAAATTTTATAACAGAAACAAAGAAAAACTTTGCTCTTATTTTGTTTATAGTGCAAAAATTTAAACACCCAGTGGCGATTAAATACCACCAAAAGAAAGCTCTATTTGTGTGAAAAAAATGATAAAAAATTTCATGAGTACAGCGTTGCATGACTGCACAATTGTCATTCAAAGTGTGACAGCATTGAAAGCTGAAAATTCTCCTGGACAGGAAGGGGGTAAAAGTGCCCAGTAGGCAAGTGTTTAATAAAAGTCTGCAGGTATTATTATGCAGGATTTATATAGCGCCAACAGTTTGCACAGTGCTTTACAAAAGGAAGGTAGACATTACAGTTACAAAACAAATTGGTACAAGAGGAAACCGAGGACCCGGCTTGTTAGAGTTTACAATCTAGGAGGAAGGGTTGAGTGATACAAAAGGTAATAGCTATTGGGGATGAGCTGATGGAAGAAATAAAAAGCAGTTTACTAGTTAGAAGCAGGATAGGCTTCTTTAAAGAGATTTTAAAGGGTTTTCAGGGATTGTCTAAAGGTGGCTAGATTAGGAGATAGTCTGATTGGGGTAGGGAGTTCCATAGGATGTGAGAAGCTCAGGAGAAGTCCTGGAGGCGAGCATGGGAGGAGGTTACACGGGGACTAGAGAGCAGAAGGTCTTGGGAAGATCAAAGAGAGCAGTTTGGTTGATCTTTTGAGACCAGGCTGGTGATGTAGGTGGGAGCAGAGTTGTGGATGGCTTTGTAAGTTGTTGTTAGTATTTTGAATTTTATTAGTTTGGCGAATGGAAGCCAGTGGAGGAATTGGCAGAGAGGTGTAGCAGATACTGAGCGGTTGGTAAGGTGATTGAGCCTGGCAGCATCATTCATGATGTACTGGAGGGGTGTAGCCTATGTAAAGGTAAGCCAATGAGGAGGGAGTTGCAGTAGTCGAGAGAGATAACCAGGGAGTGAATTAGGAGCTTTGTGTTATGATAGGTTGAAAAAAGGCATATTCTGGAGATGTTGCGGAGGTTGAGGTGGCATGATTTGGACAGGGATTGGATGTGGGCCTAAAAAGATAGTTTAGAATCCAGGGTTAACCATAGCACCCTGGCATGCGGGGAGGGGTTGATAGTTGCTCTATTGATCCTGACTGAGAAATCAGGGGAAGAGGCATGTGGGGGAGGAAATATTATGAGCTCAGTTTTGGATAGATTGAGTTTTAGGAAGTGGTGTGACATCCAGTCTGATAGTAAAATGGTGAAATATGAGGAAACTGATGGGGTGAGCTGAGGAGTAGAGAGATAGATTTGTATGTCATCAGCATAGAAGTGGTATTGGAAACCATGGAAAGCTATCAGCTGACCCAAGGAAGAAGTGTAGATCGAGAATAGCAAAGGTCCAAGGACAGAACTTTAGGGGACACCAACAGTAAGAGGAGGAGGAAGTAGAGTTGGAAGTGACACTGAAGGTGCGGGTGAGATAGGTAAGATGTGAACCAACGTAGAGTAAAGTCACGGAGGCCAAGTAAATAGAGTTTTTTTGAGGAGGAGGGGGTGGTCAACTGTGCCAA